AAAGAGAATGAACACACATTTCAATGTTTGCATGCAGAAAAAGAACTTTCTGTGAATCATGAAAATATAGACAAAGTTTATTAATTGTTGCTGTGAAAAGTTAAAGTGTCATTTTCCTTAACTGCAATTTTCTTTTGTTCGTTTTGTCGATTTTTTTTAAAGATTGAAAAATCTTGAAAAATTGTTAAGTTGTACAAAACTTAAATCGCCAGAAAATTATCTCCCTTGCCTAGCACAGCATTTCAACCAATAAAATAATTGAAAATTTTCACATCATGTTTTTTCTACTAATAGCAGAAAAAAGGAAGTTCGAAGTCCGAAGACTGTAAAGTACTTCAACTCTGTATACCGACTTCCAAGAAAGACTATAATAAGAACCGTTAATTTTAGAAGCTTATACTTATTTTCTTAATAATAATTTTCTCTTAACATTTCTTGTTTAATTTGAATGCTAGCTATATATGCTATGCTTAGCCATGTTAGTCATATTTTTTTGCTGTCTAAAATGCAGGTTAATGCTAGTAAAGTGATTGCACTGGAACTAGCAACAATGTTATTTTACCATTGAATTAACATTTTTTGATATATGGAAAAACCGGAATGGTGTTAAACAATTACCGCTTTGCTTTCTGCTATTGGTGAAAATACAGCCTTTGTGCGAGCTTTAATTTTGAATTAAGAGTTGTCTTATATCTTTTGTCATCTTAAATTTTCGTTTTACTAAGTTGAATAAGAAAGTACAGAGTTTTGATTATCACTCCAAACACCAAAAAGATTACTTTAATAAATTCATAAGCCATCATATGATAGTAAAGTTTTCTTCACAGTTTATTAGTCAAGACCGTAACTAGAATTGAGGCAAGTGAGGCAAATGCCTTACTAAAATTTCAAAGTTTTCCGAAAAGTGAAACCGTTTTACTTTGAACTTCAATTAATTATGTGTGTCTTTGTACTAAATTAACACTTTCAGCTTTTGTTTCAATTTCTGTAAATCGATCATCATTATAGTTTAAACGGATTTAAAAAAAAAAAATTCAAATCCTGAAAGATTTCAAAGATTAAGTCTTTAATTTACTAAAACTCAGGTTTCGGGAACCCCCATCAGGACACTACCCTTGAAACTTAAGTAGCCCCCAGATTCCCTGCCTTACTAACACTTTTTGAGTCTAGCTATGGCCTTGTTAGTTGTTATAATGGAAAAACATATTAAATGTAAACAAAAAGATATTTGTGGTACCAGAGAGATTCTAAACGTGGCTCAACAATCAAAATATTTTTTTTATTTGAGTTTTTGTTATATTATGCAACATTATAAACTTTGGATATTAGAATTTTGTTTGTTTGAACTAATTCAAATAAAAGAGTAAAATATGATAGAGTATCAACAAATGTAGTTAATCAAGAGAAGATAATTCAAATGGTCCTAGATGCAGTGCTAGGATGCTCCACTGTAAGTTAGTGACCATGGGTGACAATAGTAGAGATATAAAACACCTATTAAACACAATAATAGGGATGACAATTAAAGACGTTTATATGCACCCAGTGAATAATGTCCTTCTAAAAGAGTATCAAATGAATGACATCTAATAGATGTTGTTTACTCTAGAATATTTTATTCGATATTTATTGAGTTGGAAGCAGTAGACATGTTATGAGTTCTTTTATAATATTGATATGATAAACATTTCTTGAGTACTTTTATGATTTGATATGATAAACATTTCTTGAATACTTTTATGATTTGATATGAAAAACATTTCTTGAGTACTTTTATGATTTGATATGATAAACATTTCTTGAATACGTTTATGAGCATTAAGTTTTATCTTAAGTTGGTGGCACTATGGGTATAGACTGTCATTGATAAGATAAAATCTGGAACAAAAATGTTTTAATAAAACTTATAAACAAATGGACATGTACTTCTAAATATTAGTGAAATATATTGGCAAATGAGCAGAATACATTTCATAGCCTAAGAAGGCTTTTCTAGTGTTAAGATAAACTTTATCTATGGAATCCGGATAGGGCCATGCAGTTCACTATCGCATCATCGCACCATCGAGGTTTGAGTCGATAGTGCGATGACGCGATAATACGATGAAGCGATGGTGCGATGACGATGAAGCGATGGTGCGATAGCGCGATGACGATGATGCGATGGCACGACAATGCGATGGTACGATGAAGCGATAGCGCGATGACGCGATGGCACGATAGCGATGATGCAATGGTGCGATAGTGATGGCGCGATGCTATATCGTGTCATCGTTATTGCTTTATCGCACTATCGTCATCGTACCATCGCTCTATCGACTAATACTTTCTATAACCGGATAACATTCCCAGCAGTCATTGCACAACATCGCGTTTGTTGACGAAAAGATTCAAGAATATTTCTTTAACGGATACGATAATAAAGAAATCATATTCCTTCTTTGGAGTAATTATGGTGTGAAAATAAGGTAGGTATTATTAATTGTCATAAGTTATGATAATATAAGTACCTGTATAGGCTAATATTTTCTCTAAGAGTAATAAAGTTACTATACATTATATTTATAGTCTCATTCAAAGATTGTTTATATGCGTGTTCTACTTGTATGTATATATCTGTTATTTAAGAAATAGTGATTGAAGTTAACATCTCCCATTTTAAGATATATTTTATGCATTATTTTTTTTAAAATAATTAAGCTGTAGACATTTGAAAAGGCACATGACCAGACTTAATTTGAGAAGACGGAGATTGTACAATGTGGATATGGTAATAAGGGCTATTCAGGTAATATTGCTTGTGTTTTATTTCATCTTTCTTTTTTGATAGATTGATCAAATTTAGAAAAATCGTCAGTAACATCAACATTTTGATGATAGCTTATTATTTTTTAGTTAACTCATACAAATGTTCAAAATTTCATATGATTTACATATATTCTACTCAAAGGAAGAAATGATGTTCAGTGGACAGACTCTTGGGTGTCGTTCGATGAAACGAAGACTTCTTCAGAAACATGGCATCTTTATAGGAAGGTATATTATCTTATTATGATTAATAAACAGAATTCAAGTTTCTTGTTCAAAGTATTAATTTTATTTCTTTAATTCAGCAGAATGCCAATTATACAGAATATTTGCTGACATTACTTTTATGAGCTTAAGGACATACACAGCATAGTGTTGGAATTTTATTTTCTTATTCCCTTGTTCATTTAATTAAGAGTTCAATAATTGAAAAACCTTTGTACAATTTAATGGTGCCTGTAAATGCCGTTACCTCCTCTGAAGCAAATGTTGAGGAAATACCAGCTAAAACTATATTTTTGTTATTTTTTTCTTTGAGAAAATACAATGATTTTCATCATTTGACATCTTTTAAAAACACCTGGTAATGTATGCTTTTTTTTTCTTTTTCTTTCTTTCTTTTTTTTCTTTTTTTTTTTGGTCTTAAAACACCTGCTGAGATTCTATAATTTTAAATTAGGAATATCCTGGAAAATAGTTGGTAAGGTACATGTAAATGCAAGTTGCATATGACCTTAAGAGGCAATAATGCTTTTCTTAGTCAAAATTTGCAATTTCTATACTACTTGACATGTATTTCTAACTCAACCCTTTAGTTTCCTTTTCTTTCAGAAGATACGTCTGAAATTAATCTAAACATGCTCTTGGCGTATTGGACTGGAGCTGACACAATCCCTCCACTAGGATTTCACAAAAAGCTTGAAATTAAATTTGTGGAAGACCCTGCCTGTTTGCCAGTTGCACATACCTGCGATCTTTTGTTGGAAATATCTAGGGGAGAACCCCCCTGAGGAATTTCACAGAAAAATGTAGTTGGCAATGACTTGGGGGGGGGGGGGGGATTCCATCTTGCTTAAGAAAATAACTTTATGTATTCAATGCTATATCTATGTTTTGAAAGTTTTCATTCAATTAATTTTTGAACTCAATAATGGCAGTGATAGTCATTTTAAGGAATAAGAGTATTTCTTAAGGGAAAGGTAATAATAAAGGATATTGATAATCATATGAGGAGCATTTCTTCAGGGAAAGATAATACAAAAAGACATTGATTTTTGTATGGGAATATTAATTGATATTTGGTGTATTTGTGGTAGTAAGCATGCTTTTGAATTTCAAATTCTAGATTGTTGCATCTGTATGCCAAAAAAGTTTTTCTCAGAGCAGTTTGCTTTCCTTATATCCTCATTTTGCAATTTTCATTAATAGTTGTTCTAATGAATATGGCATGTATGGTGACCCAATAAACATAGTAATAATTTCTGTTTGTGACTTTTAATTCATACACTTAGATGATTAGTGTACAACATTTTTCATGAAAATTGAAAAAAAGTCAAGTGAAACATCAGGTGATGATTTATTCTCTAATCTTGATTTGGATTTTACAACTTTCCAACCAAGTACTTCAAAGCCTCCATGGCCTTCTCAGTGGTGTTTGGAACAGTTCTCCCACCCTCCAAAAGCAAATGATCAAAGTATGCTGCATTGTCCTCACAACATCCTGTTGAGCTTGGACTAGGAAATAATCTTTGAAACTCTAGCACGTCATGAATATCCACTGGAAATTTATAATCTACTGCACCTGTACATAAAAAAATGAAGTCATAATGTGTTGATACTGTTTTAAATTTGAGCACTGAAAAACAACCAAGGTATCGAAGGAGAAAGGTAAACACAGAAAAATATTCAAATAAAAGTTAGTGATTAAACAAATCTTTGCTAGGAGAAATACTAAAAATTTGAGGGTGGAAAAACATCATTTCTGGTTTTCCTGGGAGACTTCCATCATCATCATAGCGTCTTTGTGCTCTGATGTAATGGTTATTCCATTCTGTTTTTATTTGATCAAGTTCTTGTTGGATGATTTTCATAAAACAAAAGCGAATGCATTCTCTAAATTGCATGCAGAAATATCATAATAGGTTATAATCGCATAAATTCTTAAAGTATAAATAAAGAGTTTATTTCTCTTCTTACATGTGCTCGTTATTTGCTGATGAGAACATCCCTTGGTCTTCCATGTTTTTGAACAAGTGTATCCAGAAGGAGATGCCCATCTCTCTCAGTGCTCTCCACCAGCGTTCAATTCTCTTAAATCAAAATGTGTTTTTGAAAAACAGAAGGCTGATTTTTCAAAAGTAGGTCAAACTTCAAGGTTATTGAGTACAAATGTTGGTACTGTCACAAGGAATACACAACTTCCCTAGGATCAACCGTTCAAAGTTATGGCCAAGGTCAAAGTTTTACAAAAGTAGGTTAAACTCCAAGGTCAATTATTATAATGTTGGTACTCAAAGACAGATTTTTTTTTTTACAAGAAATACACTTGAGAAATATGAAGTCTCTAACGTCAACCATTCAGAAGTTATGTCCAAAATTAAAGTTTTTTCACAAGAAGGTCGAACCCTATGGTCAAGGTCATTACGTCAAAAAATGTTGGTGCATTTAAGTCTTTGCAGATAAAAATACAGACAGTCCCAAAGCTATATGGATAAGGCCCCCGAATCTTGAATCATAGGGGCATAAAACAATCACATAAATATGTCATATATAAATTCATAATGATACAGAAACAATAATTTGTATATCAGATTATGTGCAGAAATATTTTAAATCATTAAACGGACTTCATTTTCAAATATTTGACAACAGGTTTCTTGAAAGGGGTACAGAGAGGGGTATGGGAGGGTTATCCCTCCCCTAGGTCAGAAAATTTATAATAAAAATGCATACAAGTCTGTTGCATTCAGGGGGTCATTTTTTTCAAATATATAATAAACAAATACATAGCAAAACTTTAAACAAAAGATTGGTGTTTTCAGGGGTTGCAATTGCATCCATGCCCCACCCCCCCCCCCCTTAATGACTCTGTAGTATAACTAATACTATAAAAAGAACTGTGTCACCTTGAACTCTATTAAATGAAACTGATGCAAATAATGAAAGTATGAAGTTTGCAAAACTTATTATTTTTAAAATTATCTGTGGTATCAGATTACACAATGACGCCTATGAAAGGTAATAATATTAAGAATTTTTTTTTTTGGGTCTTTGAAAAGTAATAGTGAAAATAATCAGTTGATCTATTTTCCTTCAGGAAAAATGTTCAGAAAAGTAGAGAGTTTGAAAAGAAACTTAAATGAGGATTACACATACGAATTTTTAAAGTATTCAATTACTTCAATTATTTGATCTTATATTTACATGTAGTTGGGACTTACTGAATTGACTGTGATTAGTAGACTATTCATATTTGATCAAGTCTCTCTCTCTCCCCCCCCCCCCCATTTTCAAATCAAAGGGCAAATTACTCTCACTTCTACTGCAGGAGTGTTAACTGGAATTGGAACTCAATCCTAGGTGTGCAGATTTTAGAAGGTTATTAAACTCATCTGATTTGTTTATACAATATAAGTTACTGAATCATATTGTTATTTAAAAAAAAACTTCATATTCATACCTGGTTAGACATTGATCTTCCTTTGATTACACTCTTTTCTCCACACATGTCATCATTATCGTACCAACGGAAGGATTTTTGAATGTCCTCAATGTATATATTCTCAGTTCCAGCATCAAGTATCACACACCTTGGAGCACCTATGTATTGGAAAACTCATACTACCATGAACTGAGACAAATATGGTTTCTTTGTTCAAGTAAATATTTTTTACAAAATAATGCATTTTATGTGTATTTATTCTGTATCAATACAAAATAATGTATTTAGAATGTTACTTAGTAGAAAATTAACTTGTGAAAATTAAACTGCATTTACAGTTTTCAGGAATATATTTATCAATGATTTGTAAAAATTATATACTCAACTATTTATTTCCTCCAGGTATTTCAAGAAATATGATGCTACAACAAAGGAGTCATTGTCTGTTCTTGCAACTTTAAGCCATAGTATTCGTCTTGAAAATCTGAAAGAATAGGAATTTGATCATTTAGATTAATGATTAATATTGTTTTCTGATATGTAGCTACAACAGTATATATTTACATTTGCAAATGTTTTCCCTTATATAACACTATTTGAACAAGGCGTTTTTACACCTGTGTAAAACACGTTCGTCATGTGACCATAAATTCATTGTTTAGTCATAAACGATCTACGTAATTTCATAGTGACGTCATAAGTGATCGACGTGTTAAACACATTCAAGTTATACCGTTGAGTTTTGAAAAAAATAAATCATTTATGGGTTTAAAACTTTAGTACCTTACTATCTGTTATAAATCAGTCACAAATGTAAATATAAGTAATAAGGTATCATTTTAAAAGTTTTATCGGGATGTAAATACGGGTTGGCATGTGATCAAATAGCCCTTCGGGCTTTATGGGATTTGATCACATGACCAACCCGTATATACATCCCGATAAAACTTTTAAAATGATACCTTATTTCTTAAATAACAATCATAAATTCTATAACTTCATAAATTCTTGTAATCTTACATGACTCAAATGAACACTAAAAACTGATGCACATTAACTTACCCACACATTGCACCATGTATACTCAGCTATGTTAAGGAAGGTCTGAGTTCACATCTGTGATGCACTGTATGTGAAGTTTCATTGTGACGTCATTGAAAATTTAACAAGCGATAAAAATCTATTTAACCACATGATAATGCGTAAATAACATCTTGCATTCTTTTATTTTATCAATTAATTATAATAGCATGTAAAATCACAACCTCTGATAACTATACTGCCGAGTTATTAGAAGCAAATCTTGCTTCATAAATGACGTCACTAGCCTTGACTTGACGCAGTACAAGTGATCTAGAGGCGTGGATCCATTGGTTTGATAATTAAAAAAATGCTTAAATAAATATTAAACCGTTGCTAATGTTTAAATCTAATAAATAAAATTAAATGGAAATGATTTATTTAAAACAATAATGTAGATTATTAATATATCTAGGTGCTATGGAGCTGCACAAAGACAAAGTATGTAAAGAATATCGCTAACACGATGAGTGTATACCTGATTAAGCTCAAAAGTGCAAGGGCATAGACTAGACTGTTTGAGCTGAAATATGGAATATCAATTCCTTATTTCATGTATATTTTGAAAAGTGCTGGGAGCTGATTCTGGTCGGCATAACATTATTTTTATTCATGACAGAATTTAAGCGAAGTGGTAATTCTGGGCTATTAAACGCATTTTCGGCAAAATTACGAGTATTTCCGAAACAGCTCAAACTAGCTCCCAGCACTTTTCGGGAAGCCAATGTTAATCTTTTTTAATATGTATCAATTTTTTTCTCTAAAAACATGCGTATGCCCTTGCACTAGCTCCATTTTCTACATTAAGCTGAACAATTCTATTTTTATACAAGTCACGTGACACACAGCTGATACATGCGATGTAACTGGTACTGAGTAAGCCACAAACCTATCCATTATGGATATCTATATTACCTGTCCTACATTTTTACAGTTATTTTGTTACAAAGATTTTTAAAAATAATACGTATTAAGTATGTGCGTAAGATCGAATTTTCCATTTCCTTCCTTAACATAGCCGAGTAGCGAAGCCAAATGGCTTCAACTTGTCGTACCCATCAACATGTGCAAGATAATTTGGTCCATTGTTTAGATACATTCTTCTTATCAAGCAGTGACTTGCTCTTAGATCAACTCCATCAGGATCGATTATTCTCAATAAACACAACATGTTATCCCTGGAACAGTATATATATAATTAATCATCAACGATTTTAAATCTAACCATTACATTTTAACAAAAAAAAAATGAATTCAATGAAATTATTATAAATATCATATTGATATAAAACTCATTATAAGCAATAAGCACATCGTTTGAATTCTGTTTATTAATCATAATAAGATAATATACCTTCCTATAAAGATGCCATGTTTCTGAAGAAGTCTTCATTTCATCGAACGACACCCAAGAGTCTGTCCACTGAACATCATTTCTTCCTTTGAGTAGAATATATGTAAATCATATGAAATTTTGAACATTTGTATGAGTTAACTAAAAATAATAAGCTATCATCAAAATGTTGATGTTACTGACGATTTTTCTAAATTTGATCAATCTATCAAAAACGAAAGATGAAATAAAACACAAGCAATATTACCTGAATAGCCCTTATTGCCATATCCACATTGTACAATCTCCGTCTTCTCAAATTATTTAAAAAAAATAATGCATAAAATATATCTTAAAATGGGAGATGTTAACTTCAATCACTATTTCTTAAATAACAGATATATACATACAAGTAGAACACGCATATAAACAATCTTTGAATGAGACTATAAATATAATGTATAGTAACTTTATTACTCTTAGAGAAAATATTATCCTATGCAGGTACTTATATTATCATAACTTATGACAATTAGTAATACCTACCTTATTTTCACACCATAATTACTCCAAAGAAGGAATATGATTTCTTTATTATCGTATCCGTTAAAGAAATATTCTTGAATCTTTTCGTCAACAAACGCGATGTTGTGCAATATCTGCTGGGAATGTTATCCGGTTATAGAAAGTACTAGTCGATAGAGCGATGGTGCGATGACACGGTGACGATAGTGCGATAAAGCAATAACGATGACACGATATAGCATCGCGCCATCACTATCGCGCCATCGCATCATCGCTATCGCACCATTGCGTCATCCCTATCGTGCCATCGCGTCATCGGCCTATCGTTTCATCGTACCATCGCATCATCGTCATCGCATTGTCATGCCATCGCATCATCGTCATCGCGCTATCGCACCATCGCTACATCGTCATCGCATTATCGCGTCATCGCACTATCGACTCAAACCTTGATGGTACGATGATGCGATAGTGAACTGCATGGCCCTATCAGGATTCCATATTTATCTGAGTAAAAAATAACTTAACATAAATAAAAAATATGTACGCTAATGGACCAAGATGTAGGTAATCTGGACTGTGTATCACAACATCAATAACAGAATCTGGACTGTGTATCACAACATCAATAACAGAATCTGGACTGTGTATCACAGCATCAATAACAGAATCTGGACTGTGTATCGCGCCATTTACAGAATATAAATCATGTATTGGAATGTGATACACTGAATCATTCTATATATGTATATGACGCGCTGGACTATGGAATCCGGATAGGGCCATGCAGTTCACTATCGCATCATCGCACCATCGAGGTTTGGGTCGATAGTGCGATGACGCGATAATGCGATGACGATGAAGCGATGGTGCGATAACGTTGAAGCGATGGTGCGATAGCGCGATGGCGATGATGCGATGGCACGACAATGCAATGACGATGATACGATGAAGCGATAGCGCGATGACGCGATGGCACGATAGCGATGATGCGATGGTGCGATAGCGATGATGCGATGGCGCGATAGTGATGACGCAATGCTATATCGTGTCATCGTTATTGCTTTATCGCACTATCGTCATCGTGTCATCGCACCATCGCTCTATCGACTAGTACTTTCTATAACCGGATAACATTCCCAGCAGTCATTGCACAACATGGCGTTTGTTGACGAAAAGATAATAAAGAAATCATATTCCTTCTTTGGAGTAATTATGGTGTGAAAATAAGGTAGGTATTATTAATTGTCAGAAGTTATGATAATATAAGTACCTGTATAGGCTAATATTTTCTCTAAGAGTAATAAAGGTACTATACATTAAATTTATAGTCTCATTCAAAGATTGTTTATGTGCGTGTTCTACTTGTATGTATATATCTGTTATTTAAGAAATAGTGATTGAAGTTAAAATCTCCCATTTTAAGATATATTTTATGCATTATTTTTTAAAATAATTAAGCTGTAGACATTTGAAAAGGCGCATGACCAGACTTAATTTGAGAAGACGGAGATCATACAATGTGGATATGGCAATAAGGGCTATTCAGGTTATATTGCTTGTGTTTTATTTCATCTTTCTTTTTTGATAGATTGATCAAATCTAGAAAAATCGTCAGTATCATCTACATTTTGATGATAGCTCATTATTTTTAGTTAACTCATACAAATGTTAAAAATTTCATATGATTTACATATATTCTACTCAAAGGAAGAAATGATGTTCAGTGGACAGATTCTTGGGTGTCGTTCGATGAAACGAAGACTTCTTCAGAAACATGGCATCTTTATAGGAAGGTATATTATCTTATTATGATTAATAAACAGAATTCAGGTTTCTTGTTCAAAGTATTAATTTTATTTCTTTAATTTCACCAGAATGCCAATTATACAGAATATTTGCTGACATTACTTTTATGAGCTTAAGGACATACACAACATAGTGTTGGAATTTTATTTTCTTATTCCCTTGTTGATTTAATTAAGAGTTCAATAATTGAAAAACCTTTGTACAATTTAATGATGCCTGTAAATGCCGTTACCTCCTCTGAAGCAAATGTTGAGGAAATACCAGCTAACACTATATTTTTGTTATTTTTTTCTTTGAGAAAATACAATGATTTTCATCATATTACATCTTTTGAAAACTCCTGGTAATGTATGCTGTTTTTTTTTTTGTCTTAAAACACCTGATGAGACTCTATAATTTTAAATTAGGAATATCCTGGAAAATAGTTGGTAAGGTACACGTAAATGCAAGATGACCTTAAGAGGCAATAATGCTTTTCTTAGTCAAAATTTGCAACTTCTATACTACTTGACATGTATTTCTAACTCATCTCTTTATTTTCCTTTTCTTTCAGAAGGTACATCTAAAATTAATCTAAACATGCTCTTGGCGTTTTGGACTGGAGCTGAAACAATCCCTCCACTAGGATTTCACAAAAAGCTTGAAATTAAATTTGTGGAAGACCCTATCTGTTTGCCAAGTGCACATACCTGCGATCTTTTGTTGGAAATATCTAGGGGAGAACCCCCTGAGGAATTTCACAGAAAAATGTAGTTGGCAATGACTTGGGGGGGGGGGATTCCATCTTGCTTAAGAAAATAACTTTATGTATTCAATGCTATATCTATGTTTTGAAAGTTTTCATTCAATTAATTTTTAAACTCAATAATGGCAATGATAGTCATATTAACGAATAAGAGTATTTCTTAAGGGAAAGATAATACTAAAGGACATTGATAATCATATGAGGAGTATTTCTTCAGGGAAAGATAATACAAAAAGACATTGATTTTTGTATGGGAATATTAATTGATATTTGGTGTATTTGTGGTAGTAAGCATGCTTTTGAATTTTAAATTCTAGATTGTTGCATCTGTATGCCAAAAAAGTTTTTCTCAGAGCAGTTTGCTTTCCTTATATCCTCATTTTGCAATTTTCATTAATAGTTGTTCTAATGAATGTGTCATGTATGGTGACCCAATAAACATAGTAATAATTTCTGTTTGTGACTTTTAATTCATACACTTTGATGATTAGTGTACAATATTTTTCATGAAAATTGAAAAAAAGTCAAGTGAAACATCAGGTGATGATTTATTCTCTAATCTTAATTTGGATTTTACAACTTTTCAACCAAGTACTTCAAAGCCTCCATGACCTTCTCAGTGGTGTTTGGAACAATTCTCCCACCCTCCAAAAGCAAATGATCAAAGTATGCTGCATAGTCCTCCCAACATCCTGTCGAGCTTGGACTAGGAAATAGTCTTTGAAACTCTAGCACGTCATGAATATCCACTGGAAATTTATAATCTACTGCACCTGTACATAAAAAAATGAAGTCATGATGTGTTGATACTGTTTTAAATTTGAGTACTGAAAAACAACCAAGGTATCGAAGGAGAAAGGTAAACACAGAAAAATATTCAAATTAAAGTTAGTGATTAGACAAATCTTTGCTAGGAAAAATACCAAAAATTTGAGGGTGGAAAAACATCATTTCTGGTTTTCCTGGGAGATTTCCATCATCATCATAGCGTCTTTGTGCTCTGATGTAATGGTTATTCCATTCTGTTTTTATTTGATCAAGTTCTTGTTGGATGATTTTCATAAAACAGAAGCGAAGGCATTCTCTAAATTGGTAAATTTTAAAGGTCAATTTTGAAAACAAGAAAAAAAATCAGGGTGAAATTTTTCCTGTAAAAAAATGTTTATATTTCTTAATATTTCTTTAATTAGAAAAACACTTATAAATGGTTGGTTTAGTCTTAGTCATAAGGATTTAGGTAACATGCAGAAATATCATAATAGGTTATAAATGCGTAAATTCTTAATTTTTTAAAGTATAAATAAAGAATTTATTTCTCTTCTTACATGTGCTCGTTATTTGCTGATGAGAACATCCCTTGGTCTTCCATGTCTTTGAACAAGTCTATCCAGAAGGAGATGCCCATCTCTCTCAGTGTTCTCCACCAGCGTTCAATTCTCTTAAATCAAAATGTGTTTTTGAAAAACTGAAGGCTGATTTTTCAAAAGTAGGTCAAACTTCAAGGTTATTGAGTACAAATGTTGGTACTGTCACAAGGAATACACAACTTCCCTAGGATCAACCGTTCAAAGTTATGGCCAAGGTCAAAGTTTTACAAAAGTAGGTTAAACTCCAAGACAGATTTTTTTTTACAAGAAATACACTTGAGAAATACGAAATCTCTAACATCAACCATTCAGAAGTTATGTCCAAAATTAAAGTTTTTTCATAAGTAGGTCGAACCCTATGGTCAAGGTCATTACGTCAAAAAATGTTGGTGCATTAAAGTCTTTGCAGATAAAAATACAGACAGACCCAAAGCTATATGGATAAGGACCCCGAATCTTTAATCATAGGGGCATAAAACAATCACATAAATTAGTCATATATTAATTTCATAATGATACAGAAACAATAATATGTATATCAAATTATGTGCAGAGATATTTTAAATCATTAAACTGACTTCATTTTCAAATATTTGACAACAGGTTTCTAGAAAGGGATATGGAGAGGGGTATGGGAGGGTTATCCCTCCCCTGGGCCAGAAAATTTATAATAAAAATGCATACAAGTCTGTTGCATTCTGGGGGTCATTTTTTTTCAAATATGAAATAAACAAATAAATAGCAAAACTTTAAACAAAATATTGGTGTTTTCAGGGGTTGCAATTGCATCTCCCCCCCCCCCCCTCCGATGGCTCTGTAGTATAACTAATACTATAAAAAGAACTGTGTCACCTTGAACTCTATTAAATGAAACGGATGCAAATAATGAAAGTATGAAGTTTGCAAAACTTATTATTTCTAAAATTATCTGTGGTATCAGATTACACAATGACGCCTATGAAAGATAATAATATGAAGAATTATTTTGGTCTTTGAAAAGTAATAGTGAAAATAATCAGTTGATCTATTTTCCCTCAGGAAAAATGTTCAGAAAAGTAGAGAGTTTGAAAAGAAACTTAAATGAGGATTACACATACAAATCTTTAAAGTATTCAATTACTTCAGTTATTTTATCTTATATTAAGGACATACGCTACATACCTTACCTACTGATAATTTTTCAAGATATTCTTAATTTAAGATTATAGTGTCATCAGATGTTCATAGACAAAAAATTAGCATGCATTACCAGGGGTTTTAAAAAGATATTATCAAATGATGAAAATTCTTGTATAATGCAAAGAAAAATATACAAAAATAACTAAACATATATTCTAAATGTTTTGTTTACCCAAAATTGTTGAAGAAGAAGTGTACAACAGAAAATATGGACATTAAAGTTTAGCACACAGTTCTTTTAAGTATTATAACTCTTCAACTCCAGGGAAATAGACAATAAAGTTCAAACTACGTTATGTATGTCCTTAAGTTGGGACTAACTGAATTGACTGTGATTGGAGTAGTAGACCATTCAGATTTGATCAAGTCCCCCCCCCCCCCAATTTTCAAATCAAAGGGCAAATTACTCTAACTTCTACTGCAGGAGTGTTAACTGGAATTGGAACTCAGTCCTAGGTGTGCAGATTTTAGAAGGTTATTAAACTCATCTGATTTGTTTATACAACATAAGTTACTAAATCATATTGTTATTTAAAAAAAAACTTCATATTCATACCTGGTTAGACATTGATCTTCCTTTGATAAACTCTTTTCTCCACACATGTCATCATTATCGTACCAACGGAAGGATTTTTGAATGCCCTCAATGTATATATTCTCAGTTCCAGCATCAAGTCTGACACACCTTGGAGCACCTATGTATTGGAAAACTCATACTACCATGAACTGAGACAAATATGGTTTCTTTGTTCAAGTAAATATTTTTTACAAAATAATGCATTTTATGTGTATTTATTCTGTATCAATACAAAATAATGTATTTAGAATGTTACTTAGTAGAAAATTAACTTGTGAAAATTAAACTGCATTTACAGTTTCAGGAATATATTTATCATTGATTTGTAAAAATTATATACTCAACTATTTATTTCCTCCAGGTATTTCAAGAAATATGATGCTACAACAAAAGAGTCATTGTTTGTTTTTGCAACTTTAAGCCATAGTATTCGTCTTGAAAATCTGAAAGGATAGGAATTTGATCATTTAGATTAATAGTTGATATTGTTTTCTGATATGTAGCTACAACAGTATATAACAATCATAAATTCTATAACTTCATAAATTCTTGTAATCTTACATGACTCAAATGAACACTAAAAACTGATGCACATTAACTTACCCACACATTGCACCATGTATAGCGAAGCCAAATGGCTTCAACTTGTCGTACCCATCAACATGTGCAAGATAATTTGGTCCATTGCTTAGATACATTCTTCTTGTCAAGCAGTGACTTGCTCTTAGATCAACTCCATCAGGATCGATTATTCTCAATAAACACATGTTATCCCTGGAACAGTATATATATATATAATTAATCATCAACCATTTTAAATCTAACCATTACATTTTAACAAAAAAAATAAATTCAATGAAATTATTATAAATATCTTATTTATATAAAACTCATTATAAGCAATAGGCACATCGTTTGAATTCTCTTTATTAATCATAATAAGATAATATACCTTCCTATAAAGATGCCATGTTTCTGAAGAAGCCTTCGTTTCATCGAACGACACCCAAGAGTCTGTCCACTGAACATCATTTCTTCCTTTGAGTAGAATATATGTAAATCATATGAAATTTTGAACATTTGTATGAGTTAACTAAAAATAATGAGCTATCATCAAAATGTAGATGTTACTGACGATTTTTCTAGATTTGATCAATCTATCAAAAAAGAAAGATGAAATAAAACACAAGCAATATTACCTGAATAGCCCTTATTGCCATATCCACATTGTATGATCTCCGTCTTCTCAAATTAAGTCTGGTCATGCGTCTTTTCAAATGTCTACAGCTTAATTATTTTAAAAAAATAATGCATAAAATATACTGTATCTTAAAATGGGAGATTTTAACTTCAATCACTAAATAACAGATATATACATACAAGCAGAACACGCATATAAACAATCTTTGAATGAGACTACAAATTTAATGTATAGTACCTTTATTACTCTTAGAGAAAATATTAGCCTATACAGGTACTTATATTATCATAACTTCTGACAATTAATAATACCTACCTTATTTTCACACCATAATTACTCCAAAGAAGGAATATGATTTCTTTATTATCGTATCCGTTGAAGAAATATTCTTGAATCTTTTCGTCAACAAACGCCATGTTGTGCAATGACTGCTGGGAATGTTATCCGGTTATAGAAAGTACTAGTCGATAGAGCGATAGTGCGATGACACGATGACGATAGTGCGATAAAGCAATAACGATGTCACGATATAGCATCGCGTCATCACTATCGCGCCATCGCATCATCGCTATCGCACCATCGCTATCGTGCCATCGCGCTATCGCTTCATCGTACCATCGCATCATCGTCATCGCATTGTCGTGCCATTGCATCATCGCCATCGCGCTATCGCACCATCGCTTCATCGTTATCGCACCATCGCTTCATCGTCATCGCATTATCGCGTCATCGCACTATCGACTCAAACCTCGATGGTGCGATGATGCGATAGTGAACTGCATGGCCCTATCCGGATTCCATACTGGACAGCATCAACAACATCATTATCATAAAACATCCTATAACTGGGTACGTACTGCTCTGATCTTTGTTAATAATTGTAGCACACTTCAGTAATTTAAAAAACATTATGAAATATCACTTTAGAATACTCCCATTTATAATATAACAAGCTAATTTAGAGAATTTGTGTCCTCCGCTTAGGGAAAAAAAGAAGAGCATGGGGGGGGGGGTTCACACTGCCCCCTGTATTTGTAGAATTATTAAATGTATAAATGTATATTGAAGCAAATTTAAAAAAAAAATGCCAATATGGATATAAAGATTTCATTGCTTATTCTTTAATATGTGTATAGAAGATTATTTTTAATATACAGAATATTTATCACACTGTAATAATGATTTTATGAGTTTGTACACGCCAGACATCATAACTTTTTCATTTCACATGTTGAATAGTATCATTTAGTAAATCCCCCCCCCCCCCCAAAAAAAAAAATAAAAAAAAAAAATAAAAAAAAACAAGAGGCCCGAGGGCCTTAACGGTCACCTGAGTATAATACAACAATTTAGAGGATCCATAGAGTATAAAATGAACTGAAAGGGGAAGCTTTGTTGCCCAAAAGCAAGAAATATAGGGTGATCAGGATCAACAAAATAATTAGTCTAGTGTTCATTATCAGTTCATAAATTATGTTCTGATCTGTTCCCCATTTATCACTAACACCAAACAGTATATTAACAAACGTTTTATCAGTGCTTCTGTACTATATTAATTCCTTGTTGAAATCTCTTACATTGGACTCTCTTGGTCTTTGATGAGCATTGAATAACACAAGTTATTTTTGTCTCATTTTTATTTATCTATTACTTACAAGTCTACCTGATCATAAAAACTATGAAAGTACTTTTTGTATTATACGATAAAAAATCTTGCATAATTCTCTTATTCTATTAACCTTTCAAGTACATTATTTACAGTGACTAATTATCAAAAGCAAATGGCAAAGGGGAATAACTCCTCTCAGTAGCATACAAATTAACAGAGCCCTGGCCAGGACCAGAACGCTTGACAAAATTGTCCAGATGTTCAAAAATCTTTATTAAAACTTTTACTCTTTTTGCCTCTGATATGCCCAGGTGCAGAGAAGATTTTCAAAGAAATTATGCATTTTTTTCTACAGATTCACTATATTATCTATAGAGCCCCCCCCCCCCCGCCCCCCGTCCCCACCGAGAAACACCAGAGCCTCTCACCCTGGGACCAGAAGTTTGCTCATCATACATGTAAGTAATCACTTTGTTTATCTGATTAACACTAAGGAGCAGACAGGATTTTTTAACAGAATTAATGCATTTTCACTATATAAACAATAGAGCTCCGCCCTAACACCAGAACCCCTGACCCTGGGGCCATGAAAATCACAATTTTGGAAGAGGCACTCTTGCTCATTATAACTATGTACTTACTTAGTTTATTTAATACCCAGGAACATAGAAGATTTTCAAAGAATTAATGCATTTTCACAATAAAATCAATAGAGCCCCCCCCCCCCTTATCAGAATCCTTGACCCTGGGGCCATGAAAATCACAATTTTGGAAGAGGCAATCTTGAGTATCATAAAAATGTACATAGTTTGTTTAAATAATACCCAGGAGTAGAGAAGAAGATTTTCAAAGAAATAATGCACTTTCACTATATGATCTACATAGCCCCACCCTAGCACCAGAACCCCTGACCCTGAGGCTATGAATTTTACAATTTTGGTAGAGTCACTCTTGCTTAACAAAACTATGTATTTAATTTGTTTAAATAATACCCAGGAGTAGAGAAGAAGATTTTCAAAAAAAAAATAATGCACTTTCACTATATGATCTATATAGCCCCACCCTAGCACCAGAACCCCTGACCCTGGGGCTATGAATTTCACAATTTTGGTAGAGTCACTCTTGCTTATCATAACTATGTATTTAATTTGTTTCAATAATACCTAGGAGCGGAGAAGAAGATTTTCAAAGAACTAGTGCATTTTCACTATATAATCAATAGACCCCCCCTTTTCACCAGAACCCCTGACCCTGGGGCCATGAAATTCACAATTTTGGAAGAGGCACTCTTGCTCATCATAACTATGTACTTAGTTACTTTATTTAATACCCAGGAGCGGAGAAGAAAATTTTCAAAGAATTAATGCATTTTCACTATATAATCCATAGAGCCCCACCCTAACACCAGAACCCCTGACCCTGGGGCCATGATTTTCACAATTTTGGAAGAGGCACTCTTGCTCATCATAACTATGTACTTAGTTACTTTATTTAATACCCAGGAGCAGAGAAGAAGATTTTCAAAGAATTAATGCATTTTCACAATATAATCAATAGACCCCCCCCCCTTTTCACCAGAACCCCTGACCCTGGGGCCATGAAATTCACAATTTTGGAAGAGGCTCTCTTGCTCATCATAACTATGTACTTAGTTAATTTATTTGATACCCAGTAACAGAGAAGAAGATTTTCAAAATAATAATGCACTTTCACTATAAAATCTATATAGCCCTGTCCTAACACCAGAACCCCTGACCCTGGGGACATGAATTTCACAATTTTGGTAGAGGCACTCTTGCTCATTATAACTATGTACTTAGTTACTTTATTTAATACCCAGGAGCAGAGAAGAAGATTTTCAAAGAATTAATGCATTTTCACTATATAATCAATAGAGCCTCCCCCCCCCCCCCTTTTCACCAGAACACCTGACCCTGGGGCCAGAAAATTCACAATTTTGAAGGAGACACTCTTGCTTATCATAACTATGCACTTAGTTACTTTATTTAATACCCAAGAGCGGAGAAGAAGATTTTCAAAGAATTAGTGCATTTTCACTATATAATCAACAGAGCTCCGCCCTAACACCAGAACCCCTGACGGGCCATGAAATTCACAATTTTGGAAGAGGCACTCTTGCTCATCATAACTATATACTTGGTTAGTTTATTTAATACCCAGGAACAGAGAAGAAGATTTTCAAAGAATTAATGCATTTTCACTATATAATCAATAGACCCCCCCCCCTTTTCACCAGAACCCCTGACCCTGGGGCCAGGAAATTCACAATTTTGGAAGAGGCACTCTTGTTCATCATAACTATGTACTTAGTTACTTAATTTAATACCCAGGAGCGGAGAAGAAGATTTTCAAAGAATTAGTGCATTTTCACTAGATAATCAATAGAGCCCCACCCTAACACCAGAACCCCTGACCCTGGGGCCATGAATTTCACAATTTTGGAAGAGGCACTCTTGCTCATCATAACTATATACTTGGTTAGTTTATTTAATACCCAGGAACAGAGAAGAAGATTTCCATAGAATTAGTGCATTTTCACAATATAATAAATAGAGCCCCCCCCCTTTTCACCAGAACCCCTGACCCAGGGGCCATAAAATTCACAATTTTGGAAGAGATACTCTTGCTCATCATAACTATATACTTGGTTAGTTTATTTAATACCCAGAAACAGAGAAGAAGATTTTCAAAGAACTAGTGCATTTTCACTATATAATCAATAGACCCCCCCCCCCTTTTCACCAGAACCCCTGACCCTGGGGCCATGAAATTCACAATTTTGGAAGAGGCACTCTTGCTCATCATAACTATGTACTTAGTTACTTTATTTGATACCCAGGAACAGAGAAGAAGATTTTCAAAGAATTAATGCATTTTCAATTTATAATCAATAGACCCCTCTTTTTTTCACCAGAACTCCTGACCCTGGGGCCATGAAATTCACAATTTTGGAAGAGGCACTCTTGCTCATCATAACTATGTACTTAGTTAGTTTATTTGATACCCAGGAGCAGAGAAGAAGATTTTCAAAATAATAATGCATTTTCACTATATGCTCTATATAGCCCCGCCCTAGCACCAAAACCCCTGACCCCGGGGCCATGAATTTCACAATTTTGGTAGAGGGCTCAATGCTAATTACAATCATGCCAACAGTTTGACTGCTTGATGTCCAGGAGTAAAGAAGAAGATTTTTAAAGATTGCATTAATTTTGGTGGTTTTAGCCCCATCCCTCAGGCCCCGGGGGGCAGGGACCATGAAATTCACAATTTTTGTTCCACTTTACCCATAGATGCTTTATGCCAAATTTGGTTGAAATTGGTAAAGCGGTTTCAGAGAAGAAGCTAAAAATGTTCAAATGTTAACGCACGTCGCACGACGCACGACGACGGACGAAAACAGATAGCAATAGGTCACCTGAGTGACTCAGGTGACCTAAAAAAGAGAATCGTCCGGGAATTGAACCCGGGTCTCTCGCTTGCTAAGTGAGCAACATATCACTAGATCACGGAGGAACTTGATCATAAAGCAAATTAAACGCAAATATTAACTCACATATAATGTTTATATTGACGTTTGATATTGTCCAAATTTTAATCAATACATGGTGTCTAATTTAGCCTTTACTAAACAGTTCTAATAGATGTAATAAGAATATAATGTCCGCCGACAACCTGTATTATACGTAATAACTCTCCACAAGCCCCTGTGCTAAAAATAGTGCCATGCGACTTTTAATACATGTAAATAATAATTAAAAAACGGGCGGGACACTTTGAGATGGGTGAGAGAGGCCCTAGGGAGTAATGGTATAAAATTTCATTGCAAAAGCTCAAAAGCTTCTTGAGATATCGCCCGAAAACAAAAGTGTTACACAAAGACGGAATGTATAAATTTACGGCCTTGAACTCTGACGTTTTGACCACAAAATCAATAGAGGTCTTCCTTAGGCCACAGGGAGTTGTTATGTAAAACTTCATAGCAAAAGCTCAAAGGATTCTCGAGATATCACGTGGAAACGAAATTGTTAAAACAGACAGAATGTATGAATTTATGACCTTGACCTTTGACCTTTTTTGACCTCAAAATCAATACGGTTCTTCTTTAGGCCATAGGGAGTTGCTATGCGAAATTTCATTGCGAAAGCTCAAAGGGTTCTCGAGATATCGCACGGAAACGAAAGCGTTTCAGACAGACAGAAATACAGAGGGACGGACGGACAGACAGACCCAAATTAATATCTCCCACTTTCAGTGAAAGCGGGGGACAAATAGTAACCAACAATATATCTGCATGTAACCAACAATATCTGCATGTCACGTTATATCTTATCCTCTATCCATTTCGTTTTATTTTTTTGGAATATATATATATATATATATATATATATATATATATATATATATATATATATATATATATATATATATATATATATATATATATATATATATATGCAAAATATACTTCAAATGCTCCTTACAAATAAGATAAAGAAAACTGTCTGCCAGAAGAAATGGCATTTGGTAATTTCGAATCTCCAGAGAAGATACATCTGTCACAATGAATCCTTGTATCTCACATTCAGGTGTCTTAACCATTCATAATTCATATATGGTAATGATTATACCACAACCAACTCGAATAAGTATATGCGTACATCATACTAAAAGGGGCACACTATATAGTAGGTAACATGTGTCATGAAGAATATGGTCTCGATTTTTTGTGCTTTAATGCCAGTAAATCTGGAGAGAACTGAATTTTGGTTTAAATGTTTTGAACATTGTACTTAACAGAAGTTTTTCAAATCGTAACCTATTTTTTCTCTTTCAGGGTTAATTAGTTAATAATCAACGAAAATGACTCTTTAAAATGCTGAGTTTGCATCTGGATATTTTAAATTTTACAATCTCTTCCGCTTTTAGATACATGTATGTCAGGCTAATATTCGGACCAGAACACAAAACAGTTCGATAACAGGGGCATCTTATCCGCTCTGTAGCACAGATAATAAATACACAAGGGAAGAATCGAACAAAGCACATGATTTGTAAACAAAGTAAAAAACAAACAAACAAACAAACGACCATTTGATAAAAGTTTCACAAATCCTTGTATGCACTAGTGCAAATGATAATCTGGGCTAAACTATTCCAAATATACATACAATGTTAAAAAAAAAAGTATTTATCCAAATAAAACCCCAGCGTTCTGCAGAGTTCTGAACTCTTAGGCCAAGAATTCATAGACATAAATTTAGGAAGTTTAGGAATCCAGTATAGGTAGTGTAACAAGCATCTAATATGCTATATTTATCTAGTAAAAATTGTGACGAAATAACATAAAATGATCTTTAAAAAACTTTAATAAATGGAAATCGTAGTTTTTCTTATAACTTCGTATTTATAGCATACTTAACAAATATAGATATAGTAATACAGACATGAATTTAAACTGGAAATGTGTAAATATCATCCACATGTTACTCCAGCATGTTCGCTAGCTCCACAGTCGTGAATACCAACCCCTGGGTGGCGACAGTTCATTATATCCTTTTCAAAACCGGTACAATGTACATTGTCCAAAAGAATTTGTCCTGAACCTGCTCCAAAATATGATTCTATTCGAGCCACTGCGTTAGAACTACAAAGAGTACAAAAGACACCACTGTATAAACACACATCTTTTAGATTATAAAGGAAGGTTGATCCTGAGCATTTGAGCATATTTTTGTCTGGACCTCTATTTGTAAAATTCTGCATAATATTTCCGTTCTTACAATTAATTTGGATTCTACAATGCCAATTAAACTATATTCCATTAAATACCCACTGTTAAATAACATAGAAAAGCATAAGAACTAAATTTTGTGGCGGAAGGTTTTCAGAAAAAAAATCATCAATCTTTCTCTTTCGAAGTATTTGCAGTAGTGTAAAGTTTGGATTTCTATTTTTCCATGCAGGCTGCACACAGAGTTATTTTATGCACTGAAATGTTTTATTTCGGTCCTGAATTATATATATTAAATTAACTATTATGAATTCTATCATCATATTAAAACAAATATAGCAAATATATTGCACACTACAGAAAAAATAACCCTAATTTTTGCTTAAAAATTACATTTTTTAAAATAATCTCTTAAAACGTACATCATAGACCCCCAATTTTAATTTTTATTATTGAATATATATGATAACTTTGACCACTCTGCTTAAATTTAGTAAAAGCTTAAGACTCTTTAAAAATTTTATTGCTTGTTAAATTTTTAATGCCAGAAAAAAAATGGCATTTTTTGAGTGCAGAAAGGTCAAATACTTGATCATGAATTTGAAACTTTTTCTTTTTTAATTAATATGTCTATTCAAGATAGCACAAGACTATTTTTAGTCCCATAATTCAGTTGGATAAGAAATATTAGAGGGAAAACTTCGACAAAGTAATTTAAGTGTAAGACACAATTACAGTGAAAAAAGGTCATTCAATGCACCATGGCGCCAAAGGAAGCCCATTGACCCCTATTTTTTGTTCTGATTTTTAAATGAAGCTATGTGTGTAGATATTAAAACTATACTTGACAAAAAATTCTTTTGATAACAGAATTCAACCTCCTAAGGTATTCTTTAAAACAAAAGAATAGAATTTTGAACAGTATTTTCAAATTATGATTTGTAAATGATGGTGAAACAAGATGACTAAATCTGCATTACTGTTTATTGAATTTTGATAATCACACACAAAAAATGCCGTGATTCATCCATCTATTCATAATTTTGCCATTTAGAAAATGCATGTATGTTTTAACGTTCAATATTACGAGATATGCCTACAAAGTCATGAGTAGTGCGTACAATTTTCAAAATGCGCTTATTCATAACATAGAAATATTTCCTTCTGGCAATATAATGTTATAGTGCCTTCTGTCTTCTTTTCCAACAAATGACATACAACGCAAATTTTGAGTTAACTGAAAGCTGTTAAAAATATTGAAGAGTAAGGATATGCTATTAGGAAGGGAGGGGATGATTTAATTAAAAATGTTAACATCAGAAAAGAAAATTAGCAATGATTACGTCGAAATATAGGTGTATAAAAATGCAGCAATTCCAAATATGCTCAGAAATAGTCAATAAAATTAATTAAGATATTTTGAAATCAGGAGGATAAGAATGAATGTATGACTTTTATTTTTAGAAAAAAAAAATTAAAAAAGTAAATTTTGCATTAACCTTTGCAATCCCAGACTACGACAGACAACTTTGGCATCATCATTGTCCCAATCATCATCACAAACTGTCCCCCACTCGTTGTTAATGAAAACCTCCACACGACCCTCACCAGAACGACGGCCATTCATCAAACGAATTCTGTTGCTGCCTTAAAAAGATAAAAATTTCAATAGAATCAAAGTCTTGAGAAAATTACCGATAGAAACTCTGATGTTAATGAAAATGATAAAATTACTGAAAAAAATTAACGAATAATTTTATACTCTCGTAGCTCACAGCTAATAGCAGCTTTGTTATCATGACTGCAGTCACGTGAGTCCATACTGTCATGGCGACAGGAAATGACATCATTTTCAGATCCGAAACATGCAACATTGGTCATCCAAATTTGTTCACTTCCTTGTTTGAATGACGACGCATTGATGACTTTTCCTAAATTCCTATCAGTAAACACATTTTTTTTTATCATAATGTAATACACGTTCGGATTTGAACCACTATATCAGCAAAAGAAAATCTTATTTTAGGATTCCTTCAGTTTTTGAATCATTCACTGATGTAACATCAGTAGCGTAGCTTACTCTAAATATCCCAGACTACGACAGACCACGCCAGCATCAGTATCGTCCCAGCCATCATCACATATTGTACCCCATTCTTTGTTAATGTAGACCTCTACTCGACCCTCATAATCAGCTTTTCCTCCCACGAGACGAGTTGGGACGCCTTTGTTAAAAGGTAATGTAGTTTAAAATTATTGTATATATGCAGATTAATTCATCATTAAAAATTCTTTTTTGAAATAAGTTGTTCTTTTAAATATTGAATGCATCGATGCAATAGTCCTAGCATCTCATTGCACAAATTTGTACATCATCTTTTGCTTACTAAGAACACATCATTCATAGTAGTTTTCATCCAGAATGACACCTTTTAAGAGTACTTTTCTTTAGGTCCTTCGAGGAAATTCTTTATAATTTATAAAGAAAAACACATGGGCATCCCGTACAATAAGCACATCTGTGAATCAAGCAGTTACTTATCCCCTTCAACTCTCCATATATATCAAACAAAAACTTTTTTTTTTTAAAAGTGTGTACAAGTTCAGTATTTTTTTTAATCCGTAAATGTCGAGATCGGTGGATTATTCGGTCTTTGCCATATTTTAACCTCACAAAACTGTAGTCATACGAATGATTATTTGCATGAATTATTTCTGTATATATATACAACAAGATATATTACAACAAGACTTTAGTTCATTAAACATCCCACAAATGTTTTGTAATACTGGTTGATAATGTTCCTGTTATTTTGGACATATTGTATTTGGTAAAAGATAAGGCTTTATATTAAAATGGAATTATGACGTAAGATCAATTTAAGAAAAAAAGATTGATTGATTGTATGTTGTTATGACACCTACAACTCACTCCTGCGTCATTTGAATGTTGACAGTTATGAATTCCAACTCCTTTATTTCTGCATTTAAAGATGTCCATTTCATTACCATGGCAACCAACATTGTCCAGCCATATCCTCCCACTTCCTTTTCCGTAATACGAAGAAGAACGAGCTACACCCGAGAATCTGTATTGTACAATATAAAGGTTGTGGAGCTAATATTTAGTCACTATCAATCAATTTTTATACAAAAATATTTTTCAATGTTATTCACAATTATTTTCCAATTTTAAAGCAAAAAATATTTTGTTTTGTTTTTTAAATTAGTTCTATAATTGATTAATTCCTTGCAATCAACATAAGCGGAAAGCAAATATTTAATTCTTATTCGCATACGAGGAAAAAAATTTAAGAAAATAATGAATTATGGGAATTGCTAATTAATCTGTGATACCTGTAGATGAAAGTTCAGATAGCAGAGTGAGATGACAATTTCATGGTAGCATTGTTTTTGTTTTTGTTTTGTTTGTTTGTCTTTTTGTTTACTCAAAAATGTAGGAATGACGTCATTATGAAAGTAAAAACCATTTGTATTTTTCAAAGAGTCGTCAAAAATTATCATCCATACAACTAACATACAGCTAAACATATTTATCATATTTAGAGCGTCCTTTTCCTGCAAAAAAGGAAAATCAGGAGAAAACTGTGCTTTGCTTTGAATGTTTTAAGCTTTTGTATATAGCATGTTTTCAAAGAGGACTTTTTTAGGTCACCTGAGTCACTCAGGTGACCTATTGCTATCCGTTCTCGTCCGTCGGCGTGCGTCGTGTGTTAACATTTGAACATTTTTAGCTTCTTCTCTGAAACCGCTTAACCAATTTCAACCAAATTTGGCATATAGCATCTATGGGTGAAGGGGAACAAAAATTTTGAATTTCATGGTCCCTGCCCCCCTGGGGCCTGAGGGGTGGGGCTAAAACCACCAAAAATAATGCGATCTTTAAAAATCTTCTTCTTTACTCCAGGACATCAAGCAGTCAAACTGTTGGCATCATTGTAATAAGCATTGAGCCCTCTACCAAAATTGTGAAATTCATGGCCCCTGGGTCAGGGGTTCTGGCCCCAGGGTGGGGCTATATAGATCATATAGTAAAAGTGCATTATTTCTTTGAAAATCTTCTTTTCTGCTCCTGGGTATTAAATAAAGTATCTAAGAATATAGTTATGAAGAGCAAGAGTGCCTCTTCCAAAATAGTGAAATTCATGGCCCCAGGGCCCCGCCCTGGTGTTAGGGCGGGGCTCCATTGATTATATAGTGAAAAAGCATTAATTCTTTGAAAATCCTCTTCTCTGCTCCTGCATATTAAATAAAGTAACTAAGTACATAGTTGTGATGCGCAAGAGTGACTCTTCCAAAATTGTGAAATTCATGGCCCCTGGGTCAGGCGTTCTGGCCCCAGCATGGGGCTATATAGATCATATAGTGAAAGTGCATTATTTCTTTGAAAATTTTATTCTCTGCTCCTGGGTATTAAATAAAGTAACTAAGTACATAGTTATGAAGAGCAAGAGTGCCTCTTCCAAAATTGTGAAATTCATGGCCCCAGGGTCAGGGGTTCTGGTGTAAGGGCGGGGCTCTATTGATTATATAGTGAAAATGCATTAATTCTTTGAAAATCTTCTTCTCTGTTCCTGGATATTTAATAAAGTAACTAAGTACATAGTTATGATGAGCAAGAGTATCTCTTCCAAAATTGTGAATTTCATGGCCCCAGGGTCAGGGGTTCTGGTGTTAGGGTTGGGCTCTATCGACTATATAGTGAAAATGCATTAATTCTTTGAAAATCTTCTCCTCTGCTCCTGGGCATTAAGGTGAAAAACTAAGTACATAGTTATGATGAGCAAGAGAGCCTCTTCCAGAATTGTGAAAGCCATGGCCCCTGGGTCAGAGGTTCTGATGTTAGGGCGGGGCTATCGATTATATAGTGAAAATGCATTAATTCTTTGAAAATCTTCTTCTCTGCTCCTGGGTATTATTTAAACAAACTAAGTGCATGGTTATGATGCATAAGGATGCATTTTCAAAAATTGTGAATTTCATGGCCCCAGGGTCAGGGGTTCTGGTGTTAGGTCGGGGCTCTATTGATTATATAGTGAAAATGCAATGATTCTTTGAAAATCTTCTTCTCTGCTACTGGAGATTATTTAAACAAACCAAGTACTTGATTATGATAGGCAAGGATGCCTCTTCCAAAATTTTCAAATATATGGCCTCAGTTTTTGGGGTTCTTGAGGAAGAGGGGGGGGGGGGGTTCTATTAATTATATAGTGAAAAAGCATTAATTCTATTAATTAATCATTAATTAATCCTGTCTGCTCCTTAGCATTGAGCTGATAAATAAATTGCTTAGCTATGATGAAAATGGGAACTTCGAACAGAATTTTTAAATCTTGTGGTCCTAGGGTCAGGGGTTCTGGCATAAGAGGGGGAGGGGGGCTTTTGATAATATAGTGGAAAAGTGTTAATTCTTTGAAGTCCATAGTTATGATGATGAGGGTAACTCTTCCAAATTTGTAAATTTCTTGACTTTGGTCTTGGGTTCTGGTGTTAGGGTAAGGCTTTGTTGAATCTGTAGTGAAAATGCATTGTACCTGTGAAATTCTTCTCTACATCTGGACATATTGGAAGAAAACTGAGTAAAAGTTTAAATAATATAAGTAAGCGTGTATCTACCAGATTTTTGAACATCTGGACCATTTGTCTAAGCATTCTAGTCCTGGGCAGGGCTCTATTAATTTGTATTTTACTGAGAGAAGTTATTCCCCTTTTCCATTCACCTTTGATATAATTAATCACTGTAAATAATGTATTTGAAAGGTTAATAGAATAAGATAATTATGCAAGAATGTTTATCATATAATTCAAAAAGTATTTTCTTAGTTTTAATAATCAGGTAGACCTGTAAGTAATAGATAAATAAAAATGAGACAAAAATAACTTATCTTATTAAAAGTTCTTCAAAGACCATAAGAGAGGTCAATGCTAGAGGTCTTAATATGGGTTTAAAAATAGTACAGAAGCACTAATAGTTTGTTTATAGTCTGCATGGTGATAGTGTTAAGTGGGGGACAGATTAGAACTTAATTTATGAGTTGATACTGAATACTAGACTAATTATTTTGTTGATCCTGATCTTCCTACTTCTCTTGCTTTAGGGCAACAAAGCTTTATCTATCAGTGTATTTAACTTCTAAATTGTTGTATTATACTCAGGTGGCCGTTAAGGCCCATGGGCCTCTTGTTTTCTATATTAGAGTTTTGATTAACTTTCCCGGTAAAGTACTCTAAAATTCCGGGATAAAAATATCGGGAAATTTTGATTTAGTGAGCGAATATAATTTTAAAGAGGTGAAATAGTGAAACATGTTTGTTAATTGAAACATTTCATCTTATGTTCTGCAATTTAAACTGTCTGCATACATATTTAGCAACAATTAAATCAAAATTAGCAATCAAAGTGTAGGCCAAGCCAAAACGGGAAATGAAATGGGCTATACCCCTGTCCTGTCCTTGCATGATTGATTATGATTGATTATATGTTGTTTCACTTCCCATTCGAGAATTTTTCAGTCATATAGAGACGTCACCAGATATCGGTGAAGGGCTTCAAATTTAGACCTTTACTCGGTAATCAGGGTCATTGAACAGTGAGGGTTCTTTATAGGGCCAACATCTGCCGTGACACGGGACCTAGGTTTTTAAAGACCCATTTTTTTTTTACCGTACGTTAGCCTGAGGAGGGGGAGTGGTCTTGGTAGTACTGATGTTATTTACCTGGAGAGCCCCAATACTCAAGATATCACTGAAAATCCATTTACACATTGCATTACACAGGAAGTCTCTCTTTGATAACTAGGGTCAACGTTACGCGTTTCTTGTCCTAATTTTGAATGAAACTACTGTAGATAATTTATATACTTTAATATAAAATTGGTCAACTTAATGTCTTAATCGATATCTTTTAATCATAGGATAAAATAATTAATAAAAGAAATATCATTTAAAAAAAAAAAGCACGAGTGAAAACTTCACAGCTTGCATATCAATATTTTTTTCATCGTTGGTAAAAGATATAATTATCAAATAAGTGTATATATATTGAAATAAAAAGATTCAATTTATTGTGTTGATATATATCATCGGAATATTATTTATTTCTCAGATCAACAATAAAGTCCAAAATATTCACCTCTGCAATTTCCGGGGGTCTGTGTTTGTTTGTAGACTTTTTTAAGAACAGTACATTGATTGATTGATTGTATGTATGTTGTTTTACGTCCCATTCGAGAATTTTTCACTCATATAGAGACGTCACCATATACCGGTGAAGGGCTTCAAATTTTGACCTTTACTCGGCACTCAGGGCCATTGAGCAGTGAGGGATTTTTATCGTGCCAACGCCTGCCGTGACACGGGGTCTCGGTTTTTAAGGTCTCATCCGAAGGACCCGCAACTTTCACTTCAAAGTGCCGAGCGCATGGCGAAGAGACAGTTGCTACCCATTTTTTATCGACCTGGGTCTGTCGCGGCCGAGATTCGAACTCACGACCTCCCGATCACGGAGCGAGCGCTCTACCGACTGAGCTACCGTGAACGGTTTATAACTGTTGAAAAATCGATCAAAGTAATTGTTCGTTATCTTCACCCTTTTCATTACGAATATAGACGTAAGAGGAAATTTGGACAATAAGTTTGAGGCACGGCTCGGAAGAGTTATCAGTCTGTGATTTTACAGTAACTTCTTCTTCTTTCACCGGATCCCAGTCCCAGTCATTGGAGGATAGGGCTCGAAAAACCGCTAGTTATCTTGGACGTCATAACGCTTACAAGTACCACAGCAGTAAAGATTGAAAAAATATAATTCATGAAGTCAAGATTTAATTATCTACTCTCAATGTTTTTGAAATAAAATTACCAAACAATATTATAGCGATTTGATTTTTTTCACCAGAGTATACAAAGCGACTATTCACGTAGCTGCAATAATGTAAGCATCTCCGATTTTTTAATCTGATATTTTCAGGAGAGGGCTACAATTCCACTGCATCTCCGTAATGGTGCAAATATATTTTTTAGATACGGGCGACTGCAGGCAAAATAATTTGTTTTTGTATTCAACTTACTTCCGATGAGACGGATTTTTTATTCCCTATCAACACCATAGCCCTTTATACGCGAAAACCAAGTAAAATAAATCTGCATGTTTACCAGTGGTTCTCCTCAGCAGCCATGACAGTCTGAGACTTGCGCTTGAAATTTAGAATCACTTGAAAGAGTAAATGTCAGTGTTGATAAATGTTTGTGTTGTATGATATCACTAAACATCGATAAATAAAAGAATTCCATGGGATATTTTTTTCATAAACAGTGCTATTTATGCTTAAAATAAGGGAAATCCTAAACGATCCGCTCCCCTAGATCCCGAATTCTAATTGGTTGACCCAAAATAAAATCGATCAAGGTCAGAAAACATGGCGGATAAATTCAAGTTGTGATGTTGACATACACGAAAAATAACCGATACACGGATTGTTCTGTATATTTTTGGATCAATTCATGTCTTGCATAACTACATTTTATGAGTTCAGGTAAGATATGTTAATAAAATACCCACTTACTGATAATTTGAGCCGAAATCTGTGCGGTAGTGAATCACTCCCGCACTTGCACCATTACGGAAATCCTAAGGAGTTGTAGCCCCCTCACCCCAAAAAATAATAAATCGGAGAGGGCTACATTACTGCAGCTACTATTCACGCTGTACATGATTGCATTTGATGCGTGACCAGGTGATTGTTTTCAAAACATGCATACTGAGATTATCAAGTACCATAGGTAGCAAAACTGTCAGTCAAATCATTAGCTATTGTTTTATTATAATCTGATTGACAGGCGGTATATTTTTGATGTTGAATAACGAAGATTTTTGGGGCGTTAAGTTAAGATTGGGTGTTTAAGGTCTCATCCAAAAGAACTTTCACTTCTAATGCCGGGCGCTTGGCGAAGGAACAGTCACTACCTATGTTAACGTCTTAGGTTTGACGCTCCTTGCAAGAAAGATATAACACAAATTAGATCAAAAAAGCTCAAGCGAGTGACTAAACAAGTGACATTGGGTCACAATTTTCATCTGAGTCACATTAGCCCCAGTACTCCTGAGAAGATTTTTAAAAATGTTTTCCATGTAAATGGTATGATATTGCTAGATGCTCTCAATTTGAACTATTTCAATGGACTTTTGACCATGATTACTATGGTTATCTTCATATTTCATTTAGGGTGTTGTTTACCTAAAAGACCCCATTCTAGATTCTTACTAAATGATCACCTTATAGCTTTTACCTTAATTTGTCATTAAGTGGTGGCAATAGAGATTGTTCTATCTGACGTATCCGTATCCGTATACGTATCGAGGTGAGAGAGGCATCTCGATCCCGATGTCTAAACTATTTACTATAATTTCCATCGTTATTTGTTTGGTTTTAAAGCAGCCCCATTCATTTAAGAATAGCATATGGTATTTTTTCTAATAAAAAATGTTTTAAGCTGCTGTAAAAGTTTGTTATTTTGCTGGAAAATTAAAAAAAAAAATAGATAATGAAATTCAATAAATTTGTATTTGTTTTCATTATGTTGTTTAAAACTTTAATTGCAATTTTATTTAAAAACATTTATCGGGATCCCCCCCTCTCCCTCTTAACATCAGGACATTTTTATTGATTGATTCTGTAATTATATAACATTAGATGACGTAAAAGTTAACCCCCTCACTCACACACTAAATGCAAAAGACGTTGATATCCACACGATCAATAAAACCGTGTAGCAGTTTTCTAAAGAGAATTTGCTTCCAGACCCTTACCAGTATATGCTTAAAAATGCCAGCCCCCCTCCCCCCCCCCCCGGGAACACACACACTTTCATAGCGTCTGTTGGCTTTCTTCATTCTTTTTTTTTCAATGAACTATTTGACAAATACCTATATGTCTCCCCTTCCCCTCCCCAAATGAAATTGCTACTTTCGGGCCTATTCTTATACGGCTAGATTTTGTTTTATATTTTGTCCTTTCAGCAGTAATAACTTGAAAAGACTTCATGGCGACAAAAATACGTAATGAAATGAAAATTCAATTGTTAAATTTGATTTTTCTTTATAGTTCTCTTGTTGTCGTACATGTGTATTATAATTCATGTTTGATATAGAAACTGTTTCAGAATACGGTATTCATTATCTTAACTCTCTTTTTATAAGAAAGAAAAGAACATTAGGCTAAAAAAATGCCAAAACAATAGACATATCTATTTCTTCTATGCTACCTCGTCCATCCAGCTGATTTTTATTTATTTTTATTTATTTATTTATTTATGCATTTTGGCCCAGATTGGGACAAGTGTGAGTCAATTCAACACGCAGTTCATAGAATTCAATAGAAGAGGCTGCTTCAACGTAGCAGAGAAATAAAAAAAAAAACACAGAATAAAGGATAAAGTTTATACAAAACATTTGATTGATAAAATATCAGCATTTTTCAGAGTTTTGATCCCGCTTGTACACAAGGAATTACAGTCATCTTAATTTCAATAAATAAATCATTTAAGTAAATTTAGTCAACATGTATATAAAGTAATGTATAAGACATAAAAAAATGTCTCCGTTTATCTCCTTTTATCGACAATTGTTAATTCATCCCCGAGAAAAACTGCGTGTAATTGCATCAGTTTCGGAAATCATAGTCCTTTCTCAAGCTCTCTGGAATTTCGGATACGGCTATCACCTAACAATTTAGGGAATTTAGAGTCTTCAAACCACCCCAGAATTACCAGTTTTCCAAAGCTTTTCTGGAGAAATATGTCCATCAAATATAATCAAATGATATACAGAATGTTGATAAAGATAAAAATGAAAATGAGGATGGAAATTTTCAGTGAACCCCCCCCCCCCCCCACCCACCCAAACACACACAGAGAGTATGCAGTATGGTCACCTTTTTATTGTCAAAGTTTTGATAAGGTGACTTGTCATTTTTTAGTTTCTCCCTGCTTCAGCCCAGCTTCGCCCTTCTCCACTTTGTTAGTCAATTTTAAGTGTCTGCTTGATGTAGACAAACTTACACTCATCTAGAATGTTTGATCTCTGACACCTCGTACAGTTAAACTTTGTTAACTCAAACCCTTGGATATATCGAAGTTTTAATTGGTCCAATCAAGTTTGAGATGACGAGTCGAGCACTGTCTTGCACTGGTAAAGGTTACTTCTAGAATGAAACAATGATATATCCTGATATTGAGAGAGAGAGAGAGAGAGAGAAGTCCCTTTTTGAACCTTTTTTTTTATTTTTTAACAATTTAATAAAAATATACGTATTTTTTTTTTTTACTAATTTTATTTTTTTTAAAATCCTTCCATAAAATGATAGGTGTGAACAGCAACTTGATACGTTTCATTAGAAATATTACTATATATATTATTTTCCAATGAATGAGGTTAATATCAAACAAGAAACGATGGAAATGTTATCCAACGGTTAAATCTCTCATACTTCGAACCGTATACGGGTACGGAACCGTATACGGGTACGGATACGTATACGGATACGTTAGATAGAACAATTTCTATTAGTAGCATAAATAAACTGTTAAATGTCAGAGTGTAAAAGGTGAAGATAACGAACAGTGACCAATATCATGAATCCGCAAAGAACAGGACAAAAGTAACCGACCTCTGAAAATACCAGATGTGGGATCTGGTGCCCGGGAAGAATAAGCATCTCCTGTCGACAGGTTACATTCAACGTGTCCCCTGCGTATTATTCAGATAAACGGAGTAATTCGTATTCAACGTGGTGTAAAACAATTGCCTAACAATTGATCAGTTAAAATACGACCCAACGATGGTTGTATTTGTGTACACGGTCATCACAACCATAATACCCTAACAAAAAATACTATTATAGTTAAAAAAAAATTTCTATAGCTTACAATAGTATCAAATTTTTAACTATTATAATAGTAAATCAAAGTTTTATTATAGTTAATCCAACTATTTTTTCTATGAAATTCAGATTACTATATTTTATGTTCTCAAAGTCACAGATGCACGTTTGTGATACTAAATGGAAATACTGCTTACATATGCACATACTATTTCCAAATTTTATCTTATGGGTGTTGAGTTTAAGAGACTTTGAGGTTCAAAATTTTTTAAAAAGTTCTAGAGTAAAGTTTCAAAGTAAATCAAAGTAACTATAATAAACTATAGTTGACTATAATCAATTTTTGGTAGGATAGAATTTGCGAAATAATGACTTTAAACATATATGAAAACCCGATAACATCAACTTATTTGTCAGTAGCCTGCCTCCCATAGAAAGAAGTATATCTTGGTAAGAAGTTAGGATAGAGGCTTGCTTAAACCCTGAAAGTTATCGTTTGATACAAGATTACGCACTATCTCAAATGCACTTACGAACAGATACAAGTGGTCAGCCACTTTAATGTTTTCATATTTTACAAATCAAATTTAATCTCTTCAGATCATTGCAAGCAGTACTGACAAGATCAATCTTTTAAAAAGGTTAATTATAAAGCAACTGTAAAGCCATAATGTGGTCATTTAGTCAAGCATTCTTAAATGATGTATGGATTCATGTTATAAAAGATCAACGACCAGAAAGATGGTTGAGAAGGTCATTCGTTTTCTTTCGATAGAAATATTATTTGCATATCACAGATATCTGTTTCGTTGAATTTACAAAATCTTTTTTCAGTGTCTTGATACAAGATTTTTTTTTTTCTGATTACATGTTTAAAAGTCAAACAAACTCTACTCACCCGTCAAATCCTAAAGTACGACAGATGACTGCAGCATCTTTCTTGTCCCAGTTTGTGTCACAAATTGTCCCCCACTCGTTCCTTATCAAGACCTCTACACGACCTTCCATCCGAGTTTTTCCTCCAACCAGACGAACGGAAAGGCCTATAATGATGAAAAATTTACGTTCGATATGTACCAAGCACAGCTAAGTGAAACTGACCTATCAAATTATTTGCTGGGTGAGAGAATAGGTTATTAACAAATGTAAAAATTATCTACTTGGTGAAAGAGTTTAAAATGTGAGAAGTTTTATCAGGGCCTTCAGTATGAAACAAAGTAGTATAATGCTGATTGCCATTGCCAAACTCTTATCAAGTACTCCAGTAACTCGATGTTTTGTATAAGTTTTGAATTATTAAAAAAGAATAATTACAGCTGACTCCTGCGTCTTTACTATGGCTACAGTTATTGGTGGGCACATTTCCATGACTACACGTAAGTAGGTTGCTCTCTTTTCCGGTACAATGCACTTGGTGCAATAAAATGTCTCCACTGCCCTCCCCGAAGTATGCGGAATGACGCTCTACAACATTGTGGCTACAACAGAGTTTAAACAGAAAACAAGACTGAACATTTGAACATAAGTGATTGTTTAGATGTTTAGATTATGGGCCAAATATGATAAAGAAGACCTTGCCCCTTTGTCAGAATGGATAAAAAGAAAAGAAGGATGGAGTTTGTTTTTTTGGAGAGTATATACATGTACAATTTTTGAAGGATCTCATAGTAGTGGATTGTCTTGTTTCAAGAGGTAAATAGTTCCATTCCCTTGTATGACAAAAGATGATTTGTAAATGCTTAATCTACTCTTGGGATCCAGTAATTTTGTGGTTGTCTAGTCATTTTGATTCTTGAGATTGATTTGTTTGTTTGTTTGTTGTTTAACGTACCTCTCGAGAATTTTTCACTCATATGTAGACGCTACCACTTGCCGGTGGAGAGTTGTAAATTTTGACCTATACTCGGAACTCTGGGCCATTGAGCAGTAAAAGATCTTTTTCGTGCCAGCACCTCGGTTTATACGGTCTCATCCGAAGGACCGACCTCCACGTCCCGCAGTGGGATTCGAACCTGCGACGTAAGGATCAACTCCTTACACCACGACTCTAGAGCAAACGCTCTAACCACTGCGCCACGCGGGCGACTCTTGTGATCGAATGTTTGGAAATATTTCTTTCAGTTATTCGAGTGCCATGTTATGAAAAAAATTATACAAAATTGTTCTAAACTAGCATGGACATTCTTCTATCAATAAGTAATTCCTATCCAGTTTCGAAATAGAGAGAATCCCGTGATGGCAATGAAGTTAAACCAGTGACTATTCTTGCTGCTGCTAACTGTAATTTTTCTAGTTTTTCAGAATCTTGACTTGAAACATACACAATACCTCAGAGTCATATTCTGAACTGATTTTTTTATAACTAATATATAAAAGAGATATACTTTTCACACTGACCTTGAGCTGTAATTTTTAAGTAGTCCTAATCTTTTATTAGCATTGACCACCAGAGAATCAATGAACGTTGACCATGTGAGGTTGTGTGAAAAAAAATCTATAAGTGTACATGTATGTGTGATGATAAAAAATCTAAGTTACAGTCTTGAAATTTAGACATAGAAAATCTACATTTTTCTTTGTACTAAAAAGATAGCTTTGGGTTTTCGAAGGATAGGATTAAATTTCAATAGCCACTGTTTAGGCCACCGTTCAAGTTGATGTAAATCATTATTCAATCTTAATTCCATGGATATCATGTATATTGTCAAGACGATTCTGCAGAGAGTTAGCATCAGCGTGCAATCTCGACATATTTTCAGCAACATCATTGACACACATTAAAAATAAAAGAGGTCCTAATACAGACCCTTGAGGGACTCCAAAATATAAAGGACTAAAAATTAGACATTTTGTTCCTATGCGATACCCTAAATAAGGAAATTACATAAGTCACCTTCCACTGTTTAGGAAATGCACATTCTTTTAAAAATCTATTGGACAAAATACACAAAGGAATTGAGACGCTGAAATTGTTAGCTTTGAATATTTTGTGCTAATATTATCTGGTCCTATGGCCTTGTTTACCGGGGAAATAGAAATCATATTAATCATGTCTTCCTAAACTATTTCGATACTATTAAGTGCACCATTACAGAATAAAGAAAAACCTGGCAATGCAGGTTCGTCATCGTGCGATGACGAAATCAAAGCAAAATAGTTATTTAACGCTTCAGCTTTGTCATTATCGCTGTATATAATGTTCTTTAATCTCCTGGAGCGGTGGTATTTCGGACCAAACTTTGGTTTTGAAACATCTTTTAAGTTTCATATAAATTTTAAAACTTTTGATACTTGCGTCTATAAGACTGGTCTCTATATTATTATTTTAATAATTTATCTATATTTCATATAGCTACTGATCTGTAGCTCGCTGGTCTGAAATATTTGGTGTTGATGACCAGAGAGCTCCAGATCCACCCATTGAAAAATAGCGTATATTGTGCACACTTTTTTTTTATATATATATTTCTCTGTATGTTGAAGCTGCCGTCTCAAAATATTACTAATCGTGTGTTCCTAATATTTTCTTTTACTACTTCGACTATACAAAATATTCTCCCAAACCGTTGCTTAAAGCCCCTCCTGGGCCTGAAATTCAGACCATTTTTACTATCATCATGGGTAACAATTATTCGACCCACAGTCGATTTCTACATTTAATGACTTCTACCGCGTGATTTTTTTTCAGATGCAAAACATTTAATTTTAACCAGCCAAATGTTATCAAAATTGAATTAATCATAAGGAAATTAATTTATTTTTCGTCGCTTAAATAGAAATTTAAGCTAATAAAGCGATGTGTACATGATTGGTGCAAAATTCCCTCAATTTGATCTTAAAATGTTCAAATCATGAATTAGATATATACGAACATTTTGTACAAAATATAAACATGTCTAACTCCTTTAGAGGAGAAAAATATTAGACTTATAGACTCAAAAGACGTAAACAATATTTGGCGGTTAAAATGTGTGTTCAAGTCATGCACGATGCACGTTAGACTGGAGTGTCCTATCACCCAAAATGGTAGTATAAATAGGCAAAATATTCGATGGTCTCAATATCAGGCCTGGGAGGGCTATTAAGAACAGTTGTAGGGAATGTTGATATATGATAGGAACACACTGTTGGTAATATTTAGAGACGGCAACTTAATTATACCGAGAAATAAATCGAGAAAGGCAAAAGATGTACACTTTTTCAGTGGGTTGATCTGTAGCTTTCTGGTCGTCCATCCCATTTTTTGCAGACCTGACACATTTACATATATTTTGCACAGGTACTTGTGGACAGGATCCGACCCCCCCCCCTTCCCGATATTTAATCCCGGGGCTTGTTGGACATTTTTTTCACAAATTATATTTATTACACTTATTCATCATGTGTACCATAGGAAAAAAATCGTGAAAACCCCAAAATAATTCTTTCTACACAAATAATAATAAAGAGACTCAATGTATAGTGGGATATTATTTGTGTAGAAAGAATTATTTTGGGGTTATCACGACTATTTCCTATGGTACACATGATAAATAAGTGCAATAAATATAATTTGTGAAACAAATGTCCAACAAGCCCCGGGGTGGAATATCGGGAAGGGGGTGGGGTCCTGTCCACAAGTACCTGTGATATTTTGGCGACCTCTGTTACATAAGATGAATGAATTTTGTGGATTAATTGTTATGGCATTCAATCCTGATTTAATTGGTATAAAAATAACTGTTACAAACCCAGAGTATCCCAAGGTTTCGCACACAACTTGGGCGTCATTTTGGGTCCAATCGGTGTCACAGACGGTCCCCCACTGGTTGTTAATGTGTACCTCAACTCGACCTTCTCTCTTGGAAGATCCATTCACCAGGCGCAGGGGTACACCTGCATTCACATACATATATGTACATGTGGTTCATTCATATAAATATAGAACTTAGAGCTTTAACAAGCTTTTTTAAAAAAAAAAAATTATAGACTTGCACTAAAAGGTCATTATTTTCACAAAATAGAATAATGTGCCTGAAATGATCTTGAAGAAAATTTAAAATTTTAAAATTTAAATTTTACTTGAGACATTTATTTGATAGTAAACACAAACAAATTTTCTTTCATAAAATGATTAAGTTATTAGGCTATTAGGGACCAGTTTTGAGTAGTCAAAGATAAAGAAGATCACTAGAATATTTAAGCTCTCGCTTACATCTGACGCCAGCATCTTCGCTGTGATGACAATCACTTGTTCCAAAGCTACTATGACGACACTTCCGTATATCGTCTTCCCGTCCCGTACATCCAACATTATCCAGCCAGATACGCCCACTACCTTGTCCAAAAGAGGCAGACCCAATAGCTACTCCCGTATAGCTATAAACGGAAGTTTTTTTCTTAAATAAAATTGAATTCTATCCATTCTAGACAACATACTATATCTGGATTACGTTTTTGTATGATTTCCATAATAGTGTAAAGAATTGTTCTCCAGTTATCTTTTCCGAAAAATATTAATTTAAAAGAACCATCCTTATGTTTTTGTTATGTATCTAGCCAAAATCATATTGTGATAGGATGTAAAATTCATAATAATTTAGTTCCTGATTTTTTTGTGTGGAATTAATTCAATGGCTTTATTTAGGTCAATGGATTCAAATTTTTGCGTGTAATTCCCTGTTGAGGTAGGATATTTGTTGTATGCTATTCAGTCACAATTTTGATTTTATACCTGGGGAATCCCACACTTCTGCAGACAACCTGAGCGTCGCTGTTATCCCAGTCATCATCACAGACTGTCCCCCATTCATCGTTGATGTAAACCTCAACTCGACCCTCTGTTTCATCGCGTCCTCCCATCAGGCGGGTATGTAAGCCTTATAACATAGGAAGAACTATATTTTGTATCATTGCTCAATATTATATCGATACAATGACACATGCTTCCATGTATGGGTTATCCATGGGTTAATATTTAAGTACTTTGTTATAGTTTGGAATATAATAGTGTTAGTATAAAAACATGGAATGTCAGATGCGTCTTTGATCGTATCTTATAACCCGACTAGGAGCATACATAAAGCTGGTTTTCAAGAAATATATGTTTTATTCACTCATTTTGATGGCAAATGAATTAGAATAGAATGAAATATGGAGACAACGAACAGTATTCAAGCTCATAGTCCATTTAAACATTACAAATCGGGAGCAGAACAAATATGGACCTCCAAAAACATCAGAGGCGGGATCAGGTGCCTTGGAGGAGTAAGCATCCCCTGTCGACCGATCACAACCGCCGTTTGCTCCTTAACACGATCGGGTAAACATAGAACAAACTATGTTATTGCGATGGTAAAGGTGTAATTAAAAAAAAATATCTAGAATATTACAGCTGACTCCGGCATCGTTGTCGTGAGTACAGTTGTGAACTCCGATTCCACCATGACTGCAATTCAGTACTTCATGTTCCGTACCAAGGCAATCCAAATTGTCAAACCATATTTTACCATCGCCTTGACCAAAGTATGACGAACTTCGAGCTACAGCATTTGCACTGCAAGAAAATTTATCCCTCAAAAGTATTAATACATTCGTATATGTTAATTTATTATTAAAATATTGCATGACAAAGTTGACATTTCCAATTTTTGTATGTTAAATAAACCTGGGGAGTCCCAAATTACGACAGACAACTTTGGCGTCGTTAACGTCCCATCCATTGTTACACACTGTCCCCCATTCATTGTTAATTAAAACTTCTACTCGACCTTCTGTAGTATCACGTCCATTCACAAGTCTAATTGGCAGACCTAAAGGTGAAAAACTATGTCTTGTTATCAGTTTTCCATAAGGACTATGTTTAAATTTTATCTTTGTTTATTCTTAGTGAAATAAAAAAAAATTGCAGGAAAAATTTTGTATTATAGTAAAAGACTTAAAAAACATAGATTGAAAATTGAATTTGAAAAAAAAACTTGAATAAATTGCATTTTTATCTTAGAAATAATATTAATATTCATTAAAATGGTAATTCACTTGATGAGAATTTAGCATGTCTTTTCGGGGAAGTTTTCTGGGCTATAAATGTACTTTTAAAAATTGAATTGAAACGACTCGGGTAACATGGGAAAGGGAAATTAAATTAGTTAAAACACATTTAAGCGACCACTCGTATTTCCTAGCCATACATGTTATAAAAGTAAAATACTATACACATAAATTCATTAAGGTATGAATACGATTTAGAACATTTTTTACGCCACAGAAAAGCTTGGTCATACAGTAGTAGTTGTAGAAGTAGAAAAGATGTTAATTTGGAAATCTTAGGTCTTCCGATAATGAATATTAATCAAATCTTGGTTAACAACAAAATAATTATATCAACCGGAATCGTCTTTTTATGTACACCATATTGTCAAAAATACACTGAATAACTAGCAGAATCACTTTTAAAGTTATTAGTCCCCTACCGGTGAAACCGGAAGGGGACTATAGGTTTCCTCTGCGTCTGTCCATCCGTCTGTCTGTCTGTTTAGCTGTCCGTTTGTCTGTCTGTCCCTCTGTCTGTCTGTCAGTCTGTCCCACTTGGTTTTCTGCACTTTTTTCCCTAAACTCTTGCAGATATTGAGCTGATTTTTGGTATGTGAGTGTATCTTGATGAGTTACAGATCAAGTATGCATTTCGTTTCGCTTCATTGATTTTTGACGGAAATATGGCCTTTTCAATTTTTGAGGGTTTTCCGCAATTTTCTTCTAAACGCTTGCGGATATTGAGCTGATTTTTGGTATGTTTGCATTTCGTTCCGCATCATTGATTTTTGACGGAATTATGGCAATTTAAATTTTTAACAAGAACCAGGCTACACTTGCCGGTAGGGGACTATTATTGCTAATGCAATACTCTCAGAATGCTTGTTGTACTTACAACTGACTCCTGCATGCGTTCCATTACTGCAAGAGACTTTATTTAGAGTGTTGTTTCCACATTTCTGTACGTCGTTTTCAGTTCCCTCACAGTGTATGCCAAAAACAGAGGAACGCCTAATTTCTAGACCAAAATATCCTCCAAATCTAGCTAATGCATTATGCCTACATAGAAGAAGAAGAGGCGTCATCAATATTTTTGGAGTAGAGAACTTATATAATAGACTAACATTGCTTTGAATGTTATTCGTGATATGAATTGAAACGTATGTGAACAAACATTATAATTACGTACTCTTTGTATCCCAGAATACGACAGACAACAGACGCTTCCCTATTATCCCAGCCTTCGTCGCAGACGGTTCCCCAATCTGAGTCTGTGTATATTTCGACTCGACCTTCAAATTCAGATGGTCCATTAACCAAGCGGATTGGGGGATCTAATGAAACCATAAAGAATATTAGCACTTATGTAAAAGCATTAAAAATTGCATTGCATTGATGTGCCGTTTTGTAAAGAATTTGGTATTGTAAACCAGCTTTATTCAAGAAATATCAGCGAGTTTTGCAATATTATTTAGCTTGCGAATATTTCTCGCCGCAAACTACTTATTTCAATGTGTTTTTGATGAATAATTACTCAGTCGCGAAAATCAGTCCTTGCGGATAGATTTCAGACTGACAAAAAGCGAATAAAAGTTGTCGCGAAAAATATAGGTGGTTTACAGTTTATTGACATAATGTAGACATACTGTTATATAATTCTTTTTGAATATACATGTACTATACATGTCTTCTTATTTCGTGCTTACTGTCTGTACAAACCACTCCTGCTGTGTTCTTGTTCTCACAAATTTGAGCTGAACTATGTAGACAAGTTCGGATGTTCATCTCCGAGCCATCACAAGAAACATTCCCCATCACAACAGGTTCCATACTTGATCCAAAGCGTCCAGATACAACCGGAATCCTGAGAAATATTAGGAATTGTGTAATTATTAACTATTTTGTGTCTTTGGTTGTGTTTTAATGGGAGAAAGAGAGAGAGAGGGTCACCCGTAGGAGAATCCTATCGTTTTACAAACAACGCTAGCATCCCTGGTATTCCAGTTCTGATCACATATCGTGCCCCAGTGTCCACCTTCGTAGATTTCAACACGGCCTTCCATCCAAGACTCCCCATTAACCAGTCGAACACCATCTGTAAATCAGTGATGCTTAGAAGTGACGTTATATCTGATATTAACTTTTGTCACATGTTTACTCCTTTATATATTGGATATCGGTCATATGATTTCGTTTTAATATCAAACAGTTGTGACGTCATACTGAGATCTTACGTGGAAATGAGGACCAATTAAGTGGATTCATACATATAAAACAGTGTAAAACATGCGATAGCTATGTAAAGCAAATGATAAAATCAATTTCTCGTGGTTTGTTGTTGGATATGATTTGTATCCAACTCGCCAAGGCCTGGTGATGGAAAACACACAACGAGTTAATTAAAAATCATATCACAGCCCATGGGAGATCCTATATATATTGGAAGATAGGAATTTTGCTCTAGATATGTCAATAAGGATTTGTTAGTACGGGAATTAACGTTGCATTTGTTGAAGAAAAATACGTAGCCCGCGTAATCTACGAGAAGGGACAAATTATTTTTTATATTTATGTCTATATAAATAATCATTCAAAAAAGGTTCAAGTACATTAAATATCGTATTATTGATATGTACTTCAGAGTATGTTTCATTGATCAGTCGATGTAAATATGTTGAAATAACTTTGACTTCACATAATAATGAAGTTTTTTTTAACTAACTTTGCATCTTAAAGTAAGACTGAAGTCTTTTACAATTCTTACTTTGTTAACGTTATGCAATACTGAAGTCTTTGCAATACTTACTTTGTTAACGTTAAGCAACACTGAAGTCTTTGCAATACCTACTTTGTTAACGTTATGCAACACTGAAGTCTTTTACAATACTTACTTTGTTAACGTTATGCAACACTGAAGTCTTTTACAATACTTACTTTGTTAACGTTATGCAACTGAAGTATTTACTTTGTTAACGTTATGCAAGACTGAAGTCTTTGCAATACTTACATTGTTAACGTTACATGTATGCAAGATTTAATTCTTTTACAATAATTACTTTGTTAACGTTATGTAACACTGAAGTCTTTTACAATACTTACTTTGTTAACGTTATGCAACACTGAAGTCTTTGCAATACTTACTTTGTTAAAGTTATGCAATACTGAAGTCTTTGCAATACTAACTTTGTTAACGTTATATAACACTGAAGTCTTTGCAATACTTTGTATTTTTATGCGATACTGAAGTCTAACTCCCTTGTCTCCAGTAACACCCCTGGCATTCACTAGAATGCTAAATGTCTATGAATCAGTATAAAATGTTTCAAGGCATGCAAAGAATGAATAGATGGTTACAGTTATCAATGTTACAAATTTATATTATCTTTTCAGCATCTCAGTAATGATCGGTCATTTCATTCCTGAAGGCTATGGGCAAGAAATAATGCCAATCAAGAGTACCGAAGTTATGACCATAAGCCACTTGAACTTCCACCTTGATATATCAAGATCATGACACACTCTACAGACCAATGGGTAAAAAGCAACAACACACTCAAGTTTTCATCCATACATAGTTAATGCTCGGACACGATTTTGTAACAAACAGACGGACAGATGGAAAGAAAAACATACCATGTCAAAACGTTTTAATTATCTACTCCTTGTCGGTTGGAGGGACTGCCTTTACCTTTACTGACGCTGATATTCCATAAATTGTCTGTTTCTTTGAAGGATTCACGGCGGGAAACCCCTTCATCTATTTTAGTTCCGCTGGGATCAATCAGATTACTTTTTATTTTAAATCTGTCGAACTTCTCTAGTTGTCTTCGAACTGTTGTGAGGTCAGAGTGGATAACATCAAGTTCGGAACGCTGTTCTTGTAAATTTTTGCTGTTCATCGTCACTGAAATATAAACACATTATTTCGTTTCTTATCTGCAAACTATCGTTATGATTTAGATTCTGATACATCTGCATCAGGTTTAAGTGGCGTGTGATTTAAAATCAAACGGTTTTCAATAGGAAAAAGAGGAAAACCGATTTCTTCAAAATAGTGGAACGACCCCTTCCCCCCAAATTAACCGGGGATGCAAAGAACATGGGCGTTTTTGGTGTGTAATCTGCAGGAATCAAATATACGAAGCATTTATAGTTTAAATGCCCAAGTCAACCAGACGATTTGCTCGGCTGACCACATCTAGACAGACTATACGAAAGCTACGCAGATAGGAAAATGTTACATATTAATTACATAATGAAATACTATGAAAAAAATGTCATATTTAATTCTTTCTTAACTGTTACAATAACAGATATAACATATCATATAATTAAAGGTGCTTAGACACAGATTTGAACTTAATATTTTCTCAAATTTTCTGTATAATATCACGACTTATATATTGCAATAGCATTTCACTCGAAAATATAATTAAAAACTTATTTTATCTGTAAATTATTGGAACTACGAATTCCGGGACGCGTTTGATTAACACATCTTTGCACTTACACAAATTTTAACTTTATCCTTAATATTTAAGAAAAGAAGCGATTTTGTTACGTATTAATGAAAAATATTACATCTATAATCCAGAAAATTCAGAGTAGAAATGTTCGAAAGCAAAACCAACTCGCCAGTATTGGTCAGTCCTTGCTCTGTGATGTGTGCAGAGTTTAACGAATTGAACACACCCGTGAAAGGTAAACTGTTTTTGTAAACAGGGCACGAGCTCTGTTATTGTTAATGTTTACGATTCACCGGGTGTGTTCAATTGTTAAACTCTGCACACACCACTGAGCACGGACTTACAATACTGTGAGTGGGTTTTGCTTTCGAACATTTCTGCTCTGGATTTTCTGGGTTATAGTTTTAATATTTTTCATTAATACACAACAAAATTGCTACTTTTCTTAAGTATTAAGAATAAAATTAAAATATGTGAAAGCGCAAGGATGTGTCAATCCAATGCGTCCAGAAATTCGAAGTTTTAATAACTTCGACATGAAATAAGATTTTTATTGTATTTTAGTATGAAATGCTATAGCAACATATAAGTCATGAAATTATACAGAAAATTTGAGAAAATATTAACTTCAAATCTGTGTCCAAGCACCTTTAATAAACAGCTTTCAAATTAAACGGTATTGTTAAATTCAAAATTAATGCATTAAAATAAGTGGATCGGAATACATGAATAAGTACATGTAATTGCTTTTGATTTCGGTGCGACAGAATCAAAATTTAACTTTATTTTAAAATTCTCAAAAAATCAGTAAAAAATCAAAATGACAAATGACTAGACTGTTTGTTTTTTATTTTCTTTTTTTCAAAAGCCCCAAGCGAAGATCAAACCAAAGCATATTGATTCCTCGCCGTGATGGACAGGTAATGTACACAATCGACTGTCCTAACATCGCTACACATCGGAAGAAAGTTGTAAAACTACAATGAAGGACAACTCTTTTTTTGGAAAACCTTACTTTTTTTAAGCTCTCTGGTTCTTCTTTCCATTTCGTGCAAATGTTTGTTTGAATAAAATTGCACACACACACACACACACAAAAAACGGTTTAAAATCGCAGAGCGATGACCCAGAGATAGCAGATTTATAGTTTATGTAAAAATGTAATATTTTATACCAAACTCACCTATGTCTCGCCTATTCATTTAAGCAAATCAAAACAAAATATCTGGAAAATATTTCTCTTTCCTATATCACAAGAACCCGATTCATCAATGAAATATATGGAGATAACGAACAGTATTCAATCTCAAAAGTCCATTAAACAATACAAAATAGGAGCAGAGCAAACACAGACCTCCAAAACATCAGAGGTGGGATCAGGTGCCATGGAGGAGTGAGCATTCCCTGACGACCGGTCACACCCGCCGTGTGCTCCTTGTCATGATCGGGAAATAACAGAAAAATCCGTAGACAATTCAGTGTGTAAATAATGGCCTAACAATAAGTATGAAAAACGATAATGATAAATTGTATTTGCTGACAAGGTCATTGTATCGACAATAGAACTTACGAAATGATGACTTTAAACGAGACTGCTGATATTCTTGTTTCATCAACTTGTTTGTCAATAATTTGCCTCGTTTTAGAAATTGTACATACGTAGAGCATGCTCTTGTGTATCGAACCAATTGAGAGAATGCAAAAGTATCATGTGTCGCATCAATGAAATTTTCACTTTGAAATCAAGTGCGTCCAAATTCCTAACAAATCAAAAGCACTCTCGTTCTTTATACAATAAGAATCAAACAAAAACAAAAAAGTGGGTTTTTTTTAACTTTGATTTATATATATGTATTGAATAATGTAAAATGAAATTGCAATATCACGCGCACCTGTTATGAATCAAATGATGAAAAATATCACATGTACTGTTTATTACTTACAGGATAAAAAATGCAATATGAATCCTACCTTTTCCGTGAATAGATACGTAATCTATATAAGATCCATTTAAATCCCTAATAATCTCCTGTATTGTTGAGTTCACTGACAGGGACCATGTTTGGAGTTCATCTTCCATAATTTTCAAGTCTGTTCTTTGGTGATCCATCTCCTGTTTATTTTCAGCAAGATTTGCTTTGATATCTGTGACATCTTTACGCTGGTTCAGACGTATTCGCTTCAGATCACTTATTTCTTTCCCGTGTGTCTCACAAATAATACTCACTTTCTCCAAAGTAATGTTCATGCCATTCACATCATTCTGTAAGGCACTTAACTGTTGTTTCATATTTTCATTTTCTTTTCTTAATTCGGTTATTTTCTCCTTTGAAGTAATTTGTTCCTCTGTCAAAACCTGAAGTTTCCTTATCAATAAATCGTTATTTTTCTTTATTTCAATCACGTCCATAGTAAACTCCTGCATTTTCTGGACCATGGAAAATCTCACCACGCTCTCCTGATTCAATATATTCAGCAGAATTCCAGACTCCTTCATTCTGGTGGGGCTTAAAGAGGAAACATCAGTTTCTGTGTTATTAACTGTCAATACAGAAAGACCGAAAAACACATTTTGTAGGATGAGGAACACAAGACATTGTACAAAACGAAATTTCTGCATTGTATATAAATTCGGTATTTTCTAGTGCTTGAAAAATGATATCTGATAAAATGAAATGGAGCTTGTACTTATCACAGTATATATATGTTAATTAACTTAATGTAATAATAGTGGTTATAATATATTTTTCCCTTAATATGACAATTGACAATGTAGTTATTCAATTCATTTGTAAGAAATCTCATTTTTTGTTAATTACACATACGTTCATTAAAAATGTCGGTGTGGTGATTATGTGTTATTATAAAGCACGTGATATATGGGTTTTATACGTATATACAAAACTTTACTGAAAAAAGCTTAAAAACATTCCCTATGTAAAAGTCTTACGCAAAGAAATCCTAAGTTTTGCAGAGCCGTGAATGAAAAAAAAATAAAACAATGATCGATTTCAAATTAAAGTCTTTTTAAACAATACAAATTAGTGAACAGGGTATAAGACATGAAACCGTGATAAAACTTTCAAACACATATAATATATATATATAACAATCATTATATAATTACGTATTCTAAAAAGAAATTGAAATAAAAATGCAAAATTTGATAAAAAGTTTTGAATTTTCAAAAATGGGATATGGGAATAACAAGCAGTATTCAAGCTTAAAGTCCATTTAAACAATACAAATCCGGAGCAGAGCAAACACGGACCTCCAAAAACATTAGAGGTGGGATCAGGTATCATGGAGGAGTAAGCATCCCCTGTCGAATGGTCGAATCCGTCTTGAGCTGCTTGTAATAAACTGGTAAACGGAAAAATCCGTAGAAATTTCAGTGTGTAAATAATGGCCTAACAGTTAATATGAAAAACGTCAGTATGCATATGACCTATTGATAGGTCGTATTTGCTGACATTATCATTGTATCGACCCTAGAATTTGCAAAATGATGACTTCAAACGAGATTGTTGATATCTTTGTTTCATCAACTTGTTGGTTAAAAACTTGCCTCTTTTTAGAATTTGTTCAAACATAGGGCATGTTCTTGCGTATCGAATCAACTGAGAGATATAAACCCCATATGCAAGTGATAAGGGTTTATTGCTACATGAGTAAGATAAGTTGACGATTGAAAAGTTGAAGTCATCACGTTTATCATAATGCTTTGTTGTTAGGTTACCATCAACGTCTTTTGCTAGTAATATATCAAAATATGAAACAGATGTATCAGACTCTGTGATGTCTTTTATTTCAAGCTCTCTAGGATATATCGAGTCGACATTTAAATGGAAGTAACTTTTGTTAATTGATAATTGTTCGTCGATATTTCGAAATGTCGAATTGAAGGCCACAGCAAGTGTTTTCTTCTCATATAGAAATACTAATTACACAAAGGAAATTCCCACAAACGTTGACAAACATTACACAAACGTTGACAAACATTACAATTCAAGAATTGAAGAGATTCCTAAAATAATATTTAATCTACGCATTTATTAACATTTCAGTCTACTGTTTCACAAAGGATGGGGTGGGGGTGCCGATCACTAGGGTCTAGTGAATGTTAAGATTAGTGAAAATCGGGGTACTCTTTGTGAGGATAGCAGGGACGGTTTTCTGACGTAGTCTGTGATATTTTCTCAGCTTCTCATTTTTGTTGTTTAAATGGACTTTTGAGCATGATTGCTGTTCGTTATCTCCATATTAAGAGTATGTCACATACACAGAGTAGACAGTAAAACAGTTAATAGACCCGCGGTAGTCTAAGGCAACACAGATAAAAATGTATACAAGATTAGATCAATGTCCATTGTTTATTAATCTAAAAGATCTTTGAATCAGTTCTTTGGTTTTGAACAGAGTCCTTTAGATCTGCTATTATCCGAACAAAACCGCATAGAACGAGCAATATGCGTTTATGTGTATAAACAGTATATTTCAGGTAACAACTAGCAACTTTCTCGTCTTCTGTAAGAAGGACGAATTTTATAAAAAGTTTTAATTTATATGAAGAAGAAATGGAGGAGGATGAAAATGCTGTGGAGGATCCTTTCCCCGAGGAGCCGGGGATTACTGACATAGCACTTATCGTGGAGGATAGAGAAATCCACACTATTAAAGCCTTCCTAATGAGTGTTTCTCCAGTATTAAAGGCCATGTTCACCTCGAAATTTAGAGAAAAATCAGAACAAAGGATACAGTTTCCAGAGAAAAAGTACGATGATTTCGTGTTGTTTTTGAAGAAGTTACACCACAAGGAATACTTAGAACTGGATGGTGAGATATTAGTGTGCTTCTTTTACGTTACTATTACTCAAGATATTTTCCAAATAATCATACTAATGGAAATACTTTTGTTTCGAATAAATTACGTTTACGTAAACATAAACAACAGAATTTTTCATCGACATTTTTTATGGTCATATGTTATTTACCAGAAATTCCTCTAAAGAAAATAATCGATAAAAATATAGGTAGCAACTGTTCCTTCGCCAAGCGCTCGGCACTTTGAAGTGAACGTTTTGGGTCTTTCGGATGAGACTTTAAAAACCGAGGCCTCGTGTCACGACAGGCGTTGGCACGAAAAAGAACTCTCACTTCGCATTGGCACTGTGTCTAAATTTGAAGCCCTTCCCCGGTGTATGGTGAAGTCAATATGTGAGTGAAAAACTCTCGAAGTGGAATTCAATTTATTTGGTTGATTTAATGCATAAAATTTTTAATCTTCTAAAATACGTTTATAATGTATTTCACTGAAGACAAGGTCAAAAGGATCCTTCCGTTAGCAAGAGAGTATGAAACAGCACAAATAGTGAAAGACTGTGAAGCCTGGATGATATCAAGACTATCTGTAAAGAAAAGTAAAGAAAATGCTTTCGTGTGGAGGGGCAACAGAAGTCAGGATCTTAATTATCTGATTGAATGGTTGACAATTGCAGACGATTATCATCTTAACGATCTCCGTAGCAACCTTTTTGACATCATCACAAAGTACGATTTTCTGATGTCATTAAATTACTCTGAAGCATATAAACATATTTCCCCGGAAACAAAGGCTGAAATTTTAGAAAAAAAGACTGTCCAATGTTGAAATGAGTATACGTGATGCATGGACCTGTGCATGTCAACGTGAATATGCCGGAAACTGTCCTATTTTAAAAATAAGGGAGGACATGTGGATCTATAAATAACACCGAGACTGAAATATTACTTTCATGCATAATCTTATAATATAATAGAAACTTTAAACACAATTTACTTCCCTTTGGAACATTTCATTTGTTTCATTTACTCTGAAGCTTACCACCGTATTTCCCCGGAAACAAAAGCAAAATTTTAGAAAAAAGACTGTCCAATGTTGAAATGTGCATGTCTACGTGAATATGCCGGGAACTGTCCTTTTTTTAAAAAATAAGAGATGATACATGGGTCTATAAATAATAGCGAGAGTGAAATATTACCTTTACTAATAATCTCATAATGCAATGGAGTTAAAAACAAATTACTTACTATTGGAACATATTGTAATATTTTAGGACTTAATTCTGTACTATGTTATATATGGGGGTGGGTTTCAGCTTATTGTTTGTCAATAACTTACCTCGTTTTAGAAATTGTTCATTCGTAGAGCATGCACTTGCGTATGGAATCAACTGAGAGATATAAACCCCGTATGCAGGTGATGAAGATATATTGTTATACCTTTAAAAATGTGTCCTTTATAATTCTTTACTAAAGAAAGTCTAACATTTCCAATATTTCACTGAGCGGGCATAAAAAAAATCGATATTTGACCGCAGAGTGAGATGTTGGACCTGTCGATGAGACGCTGGACCGCTTACGTCACAGGGTGAGCGGGATCAGCTATATCTTATTTGCGTTCGTTGGAGTTCGACAGAACCACAGTGCGGGTGAAAAAGGTATAACAAAACATTTATTGATTGTGTTCTCGGGCAACATGCGTTTTGTCGACCTTCGAACCAAACCGTTTGTCTTCGGCCTAACAGCCTCAGGCAAACAGTTTGGTTCTTGGGTCCGACAAAACGCATGTTGCCCGAGAACCCAATCAATAAATGTATATTGATACTTGAATGTTACTTTATTGCAGAATTGTGATTTAATAATGTTTTATTTGATGAAATATTTTGGAACTTGAATGTGTGGCGTTAGACTGATGTGTATGTATTATTATCCTGTATTATAACGCCGTGGATTGTATGTGTCCGTTTTATTACAGATTGTTGAACTTATTTTATTAGGCACAACAAAAAAAACGTGACTCAACAGCATATCAATTAGAATATATAGCTGTTATCTTACATGTAGAAAGGGCATATTTAGCTACATTATTTTCTTTGTATTACACAAAATGTACGTAATGTAGTTCTGAGGGTCTCAAGAAAGGACAATTATTCATTGGTTCATTTTGATCACGTGACCATTTTAGAAGGTTATTTTTATATTAGGAGCGAACGTCGGTTTTATCATTACATCACTGACAGTAATATTTACTACTATTTGATAGCGGCTTAGGTATGATAAAAATAATGTAAACTTTAGTACAAAGTAGTTTATAATTTTTCCACCGCAAGGATACCGCAATCCACTTTATTTTATTATTTGTTGTATGTTTTGACGTTTGATGAAAATATTAAGCACAGTTTATTCTTTACTTTGCAAAATGTAACACAATTAATAAGATCACTGTCATATGGAAGGTCATTTAGAGGTTATGACCAAAGTTATAGTTTTTGTTTCAGAAAGATGAACAGCTAGCTGAACAGCATGCAGCGATTTTATTAGGTCTCAAATTTCCCTGTTTTCACCTACTATTTTTTGCCAATTATTGCTAAATATAGAAAGTGGCTTGTTACTAAAAATAGAAGCAAATGACACACTTTTTAAATTTATTTTTATATCCTGATATAACCTAGATCTTAAAAATATTTGACAAAATGAAAAGTTCTATATACCTTTCTGAACGATATTTCAGATTTTGCATGTTTTTCTCTGAGACAGGCTGTTAAAAGATAGAACTTATACAATTTGTAAGGGCTTCATAACCTGATTTAATTGGTGTGTGTGTGTGTGTGTGTGAGAGAGAGAGTGTGTGTGTGTGTTTTGTTTTGTTGTTTTTTGTCAAATATAATAAAACAATTTGAAAAGTAAAGGGAAAAGAAATAGAAGTTAGTGTTTCCATCATATGACAGGTTTAAACGAATTGACTATTGAAAGGTCTTAATTATTAAACTATGATGAAGTAAACTATGAGTAATATTATGATTTTTACTCGGAAAGTTATATCTCTTATCAGAGGCTTGGTCCCCCTTAATGGAGAAAAATTATCTTTGTCTGACCCAAAACGAAAATATTGCTTCACTACTTCCTTCCTATTGTACGCGTGCGCAGAAAAATTGAACAAGTTTCGGTAGACCAAGGATTTAGTTACAATCTTCGAAAAAGATATCCCTTACCTTTGCATGCTCCAGTTCAATGTTGTTTACGCATTTAGCACTATATAAATAAAAGTCACCTGACCTTGACATGCACGATAACAGAGATGCAGTAGATACCATAGGGACTTGTCTTCCGGATTGTTAAATATAAAATAAATTTTAAAAAATTTGAATCTTCTTTAAATACACTTAAAAGTTAATAAAATAGAGATTCTGACACTTTCAGTCAAGAAAAACCACGTTTAAAAAAGACGTACCACACCTATATACCACTCTCTACCATCGGCTCATACATTCACCTTTTTTTTCACCAATTTTTTAAAATTTGTTTTATATTTAACAATCCGGAAGACAAGCCCCTATGGTAGATACAAACTTTGCTTTTCCGACACATATTTTGAACACCCTGCTTGCTTTACAGCGCAGTTGGATTTGTCAAAACTTCGTTACACTCATGTTCTGAAATTTTAGATAGCGACTTTGCCTGGGAGGGGCATGATTGATAAGAATCTTATTTTCTTTATTAAATCTTGGGAGAGGGGATAATCAAATGCAAAACTTGGCTAATGAGACTAATTTAAAATGGCATTTGAATTATATGGGAAGCTCCCATATGCCCTGAAACCACCAAAATTGTTATTCTTTGTAAATGTTGCTTCCAAAGAAAGTTTAATCATTTTGAAAGTCAATTTATTAATTATATTTCACGGATAATCTGAAAAGAATTTGGAACATATCCTTCTGTAGGATTTGTTGAAAAGCCCCTGGTTCTGTCTAGGGGCTGCAAGAAGTGTGAAATGTTTGATGGAAATGCGAAATTGTGAATATTTTCCTCAGCAAAGCTTTAAGTAAAGCAAATATCTTAAAGTGACACTGTGACGGAAAAAGGGGAAAACTGACAAAAGTAGAATTTTTGGATGACACATGCAAATTTTATTCAATTCTTGAAGATATTAGGTTTCAGAAAATTACAGGTTTCAGAACCTAAAAAATATACTTTTTTGGAGAAAAATAAAAGAAAAAATAATTTTTGTTTGCCCCAACACAAAAATATTGCTTCACTTCTTCCTCTTTATTGTACGCATGTGCAGAAAAGTTGGACATAATTATATAGTCAGAGATATCAGGATTCAACAGAGTACTTTACCATAATTAATTGACCCTGTTAATATTAGTGATGAACCTATTATGAAACTACCAATTGTCAGATGTTTTACTAGAATTAACATTTTGACTGGGCAAGCATAAAAAGTTCACGATTGTTATTATACCCAAGTTGAACCAACTTAAGCAGACTTGTGTTTTACTGCTAATTCATTTTTTTGGTAAATCAAACGAAGTTATGATTTTTAGAAATAGACACATTACAAATGGGTTCATTTAAATTAAAGTTATATGATGTGTCAAAATCATGCGTTTCTTAAAATATATGTATCATAAAGCGACACTTTATGAAAAATACATGTATGAGTATAGCGAAAATTTGACAAACTCGACTGTACTGCAAAGCAAGAAAAGACTGCAAAATATGTGCCAGAAAAACAATGGTTATATCTACTGTTTCGTGTTATGCATGTCAAGGTCACCCAACTTTTATTTTTATCGTAAACTTGTAAACAACATTGAATTGGAGCATTTGAAGGTGAGAAATATGTTCTATTAATCTTGGACTACTTGGTTTCTACTGACAATTAATTACAGGCTTATAGAGGTAGAAATACCACTTCGTTCAGAATCCCGCAGTTAGTTTAGGAGCAGTTTGAAGTAGATCTACGCCCCCCCCCCCCCCCCCGCCTTTTATTTCTGTTTTCAACCTTGAAAATATCAGTTTCATCAATTGTATTTTCTCTTTACATGTTAGCAACTTTATATTGATGCCTTTTGTATTATATTCTACATATTGTACTTTGGGTGCTCTGATTCCATTTCCATCAAGTATTAAAGAAGTGAATGTGCATATTTTACTGAATTTGTCAGCACATTTTTTTAGGGGGATGAAAATTATTTTTTCACCCCTTAGGTATGGTCTAATATTTAATACAAAAGACTGTATGCAGAAAAACCCACTGAAATGTATTTTGTAAACAACAAATTTTAACCACATTAGTGAAATGTGAACAATATTAATACAATGTATGTAAAATTGTACTCGGTTCGTTGACGTTGTGCTCTCTCTGTGGCGAATATACACATTTTTACTGTAAAACTTAAATTACTAATAGTCTTTCAAGATATAAATATATAAATACAACTTTAGTATTATCATTTGTTTACCATTATTCAATGCCCATTCACATCAAAGTATATTCATATAGTGATAATCGCCTCGTTTTTCATTTTAACATCGAGTTCGATGCCATGCCGTATGCAGGTGATAATGGTATATTGCTACATAAGTGAGTGAAGCTGACGATTGAAAACTTAATGTCATCACGTTTATCATAAAGCTTAGTTGTTAAGTTACTATTAGGTCACTTTATTAGTAAAATGTCCAAATATGAAACAGATGTCGTCGATATATCTAAATGTCGAGTTGAAGGTCACAGCAAGTGTTTTCTTCTTCTCATGTATAAGATTGTGAATAAATTCTGCTTCATATGAATACAAAAATGGGTCTGCTAATATCGGGGCGCAA